AAGTAACTCATAACTCTTGGAGCATAACATATATCCTATTTTCATAAATGAGCATGTAGACTCAGGGGGGCTCTGTATGTTTACACAGACAGTCCATGATCCCAGTAAAAATCCTATGGGCCCCGTTACACCCCCGCGCCCCTCACCATATACCCTTCCCTCCCTCCAGTGAATCTTAACCCTGACCCAGGTTCAATTTTAGGGACTCAAACTTTAGCCTGGCCCCTCAGGACAGTCTGTCTCCCTGTGTGCTCTGTTTGGGTTTCTTCATCCCCAATTCACTGGCTGCACTTACAAACTTAGAGGCTGCTATGAGAACATTCCCACTGAACATATAGGAGATGTTTGTGGTGATCCGCACAGCTTAAAAACTCATAAAACAACTGGAACTCAGGCAGCACCAACAGGTTCTGACCTACAACCCAAAACCTGTAAGTCCAAGAAAACAGAGCCAAGTGGAGTGTCTGAACAAACACAGCAGCAAAAATGTCCAACATCTACAACCAGGAATAGTCAATGTAACCAATACCCTGTCTGTAACTAACTTTTATGTGTACAGAGCATAGCCTTTTATAATATTTTATATTTAGCAACAAAAAGTTAAGATAAGAAATATAAGGTTTGCAAATTAAATTCAAATTAAAATACTTAAAAGCTACTGGGAGCGAGTTAGAGGAACTACATTGTTTGGCAGGATACATAGAGATTTAAGAGATGGTTACTAATGGATTATTAAAATGCATCAAAACTATTTAGTTGCTTTTATAGATCTATTTTGTACCACCAATTTTGGATAAAAAATCTGTTCAAGCCATTGTTTTTGTAAATGTAAGATATTGTCCAAAGTAGGGATACACCAATCCAATACTGGTATCAGATATCAGCAGTGATACTGACATTTTTACTAGATATTGGCTTCGAAATATGGGTTCAGATGATATCATGATTGAACATATAAACTGATATAATAAAACTGACCAAAGAGGGCCCAAAAAGTCTCACAATGTTAGAATTTTTATGTATACAAGGTTGCTTCGTCGGTACTATATAACACATTTGAATCAGTTGTGTCTCATTTTTGTTTAGTTGAAAGGAAATAAATGCTGTTTTCAGTCTCTGCACTGGTATGGGTTGGTATTGGGTATCGGCAGATACTTAAAGCTGTAGTATCAGAACTGAAAAATCTAGATCAGCACATCCCTAGAAGATTGTAGTTACCAATTGTAGTAATTTCTCTTTTTGCTTTTGCGCTACAGTGTGCCGGTCCATGTGTCTGTGTGGTGAGGGGTGAGTTTTTCCATGCCCTCAGCTGTCCAGGTATGTGAAATGAAATCTTGAGTTGTGTTTTGAAAACCCTGGGAGTTCCAGTCATTTTCACATTTGAGGACTCAACCCCCTCTTCTCGCCACTCTGCTCTCACCAATGGTCTGCCCAAAATTACTTACTGTGCAATTTAAAGTGCTTTGCAAAAAAGTTAAATAAATACCACCTTTTAACTGCAGAAGGGGGAACACCCACCATCTTGACCATTTTCTGTCCTGGAGCTGAAACAGAACTTAATTGTAAGAATCCTAAGTGAGAGCCGCCCAGCATGCGAACTCAAAATTAAGTATTCGGGAGTTTAAGTTTTAATCAGGAAACCGAAGAAGCCACAAAATGTTGGCGACACAGACAAAAGTTCCTTATCTGCTTTGACTGCGAGTCTTGTGCTCACATTATTAATTAAAGTGGTCTTTAGGATGACTACAAGAGGGGTACTGTACTGGATCTAGCAGCATGGGGGGACAGGAGCAACTAACAGCCAAAAGGAGGCACATTTGTAGTAAAAATGTTTCTCAAATTCCAAAACAAAATGTAGTCTGCCACTCAAAATGACATGCACTTATTGTACTTTGGTCTTTAAAGCAGATGAGTGACAGGGCATATTCACAGCCCACTTGATCCTTCAGCGATGTGTTGACAGAAGATGACAGAGCTGGCACAGAATTCAGGCAGACCACAGATAAGAGCTCCAATCACAGCCTGCCAAAATATTCTTTTAGGAGCGAGAACTGACTTTTGAATGCAACTTGGCAATCAACAGATGAAGATATTTCAAACTGAGAATGAGATGTTTTAGTGAGCAAAGAGCATGTATGCATTCTCAAAATTATGGTTTCATTCTGAATAGTATGCTTTCAAAAGATTGTTTCATGTAGTTCAGGATCTTTGTGAGATAAAGGGCTAAGTGGAAGGGCAAACAGTTCCGTACATTCTTCAGTCATGGTTCAATATCAGACAGGACTTTTAATATGAATGGCAAACATCTTTTTTTTTTGATAATCTGAGCCTAGACATTGGCATTTTTCAAATTCTAAAACATGATGATGGCATAGTTCCAAGGGGCAAGAGACAGTTTTTCTTATTAATTACATGAGAACCGTCGAAGTGTATTTTGATTCCTGACCTAGTCGCCGGAGAGACATGAAATTGAGCAGAGGCACTAGGTGGCGCCACTCTGGCTAAGAACTCAGTATATTACAACAAAAAACTGCATTTTAACAATATTCATTTTATCTGCCCCATCTGTATTAAATATTATTGGCCTGTAGATTGCTGGGATGTCATCTGAAACCCAGCAACACTATAACATTGTGATTAGATGTACAGTGTTTACTGGATCAATAGCAGAAAGTTTTACATTAAAAGGGATAGGGATAGGAATAGGCTGCCGTTGGATGCTCAATATAGTTATGTTTGTACATCCGCACTAGTTTGCCTCATACCACCCCCAAGCCAACATAAACATGAACAGGAAGACGTATTTCAAAGATCAATACAAAAAACATTACATCAGATCAGAGCCCACATTGGTAAAAGAGCAGCTCCGGTTGATACTATTCAGAATGTGTAGTAAAACTAAGAAGCATTTGACCGGTCAAAACCCTGATCCTAGAAATGCTAATCGGTGAGTTGTGGCATTCCAGTGTACTTATATGTAGCAGCTCATGTGTGACAGCAGCCTCAGTGCAGCCCATTAACAGCTGTTACTTCTCTGGACACCTGCAATAACAGTGGGGCGTGTAGCAGGTTAGTTACCCTCCACTCTTCTCCACTTTTGTAACCTGACCCTGTTCCTCCATCCACAGATGAGAAGGTCGGCCTGCCTGGACTGGACACAAGCCGTAACTAAAGGAGAGGCTTTTAAGTGCAGCAGGAGGATAGATGACTGATTGGTGTGGAATAATCGTTTTCCCAGTACATGATGATGTGAGAAGCAGAACGGAGCTTACCCTGAGCCCTTGATAAATGCAGTATACATAATATATAGTTTAAAGATCAGAGCTTCATCAATAGCTGGTGATTGTATGATGTATATCAGGCTTAAGGTACTTGTGTTGCTACCAAATGTTTAAAAATAATGTTAAGTTATTTAACCCATTGAGGTAAGTGATTTATTACAAATCCAGAAATATAGTTTTAATTGTATTTTCTTGCTAGAGCTTGTTATATGTGGAATTTCTTGTGCTTACTGCACAGTACAATTGAATTTCCTTCCTTTCAGGGATCAGATTCTTCAGAAATAACCCAGGCAGGTAAGCTTAATATACCAATAAAGCTAAAATGGCTAAAATATATTATCCATGGTACTGATTCAAGTCTGTTGACTGTTGAGTTAGCTACATGCAAAATTGCTGCACAAAGCAGATATAGTACACAGTTTTAATCACTACATTCAAAAATAAATATTTAATTCGGTGTCCTCCTATTACAGACAGTTGTTATCATAGTTTTCCCATTTGGTCAGCTGTGGCTAGACATAATGCAAATCTCAGTCCAATCTGTAACTTCTCTTTCACTGACGTCATCATGTCTCTCTGCAATAGTAGGAAGTACAAGAGTCCAGTAACTTAAGCACAACTACAAACACTACTGTCGAGGTCACTGTCGGCTCACAGCCAATCAGGACTGGAGACTCCATTCCCATCTGAATTATGATATTTTTAAATTGCCATGAAAAGAATGAACAACTCCAATAGGGATAAATTATATTTTTCCCAAACCGCAATGGGAAATAGTGAAAAATAAACAAAAATGTATAAGAGCCTGGAAAATTATGACAGCTTCAGAAAGTACGGCAGCGGTAGACCAAGGGTTTGAGTAAGAATATGATGGATGGATAGAGTTAATTGTATTTGACAACTACCGTGTGTTCACATGCAACTCCTCAGCAACATGATGGTGACTCACCCTCTCTTAGCTTCAGTCATTTATTTAATCCAAGTCATCAATTGATGTAACAACTTTATGTTTTTAATGGCGTAGCGGAGGTTTGCGGAGAGTTTAATTTAAAATATTTAAAAAACGTACTCCACCTAAATTATATTATTACCTTCAACCAAGGATCTGGGGTACAGTTTTAAAATCCATCAGAGTCTATTAAATTTTCCATATATCATGCATACAATTTTCACCAGAATACATTGCCAGAAGAACACAATTTAACAGTTCAAAATATTAACAACTGCTTCAATATATCACTTCTCATATTAAACCAGACTGAATCCTATCCTATTCACATGCGATACAGTAAAGACCAAAATTGTATTAGGGTACTTAAAGTGATTCTACATGAAATCCATGTCCAATGCCAAATATCTTTACTACTGATGTAAAAAACTGATGTAAAAATGAAAACAAATTTAACAAGCATTTGTGTCCTATACAAAAGCTTGCTCTTGACTCAAGGAATGCTGAAGGTGTACTTGTGTGTGTCACTCTCAAATGAACGTGCTGGGTAGAACCCATCTGAGTAAGGTGGAAAAACTGAACTAAACTTAACAGAGCTTGAGTTTAAAACAGCTGAAAATACATCTGACTGCACCAAAAACTAAGCTGTCCCTCTAGACCCCTTCAAACTCCTACTGCACGTAATTCTCTGTTCCTATTTTCTTCAGGATGTTAGCAAGTCTGCAATTAAGCAATTAGCATTTCAGCAACAAGCGCTGCGGCAGACTCACCTGATAGTGATCTATGCGAAGCCAGCTCCTTTCTCACTGCAGCGTCATCATCATCATCATCATCATTATCATCCTGCCGCTTGTCTATCACATCACAAAGCTCCCCTGTCAGCGTGTTTCCACGGAGACCGCCTCAAGGGTTCGGCTCCCGGTGCCCTTTGACCTCTCCAAAGTCTACATGAAGAAGAGAAAACGGCACATATGAGAACCATTTCAGGTCTGTCATCGCAAACACAGGGACCCAGTGAAAAGGAATAACATTAACAAGGCCAAAATTGGTATCATCTGTTCCCCCAGCTCTTCTGAGTGGCACAGGCTGTCAGTAGTTATTTAGTGGACAGGCGTGAGGTTCAAATACGGTGCATACAGTAGAAGAGACATGGATATGATTGAGAACAAAGCAGGTGAAGGTTTGAAATGTCAACAGAAATCAGAATGATGTGTTTGGACTTAGTGTGGTGGAACTGTGGAAAACATTTTTGAACTGGGAATGGTCGATAATCAGAGGTAATATTCATATCAGTGTTATCAAAAGGTTTTCCACATATCAGTATAGATATGATATTTAAAATTTGGCCAGCGTTTTTCAAAGGCACTCCTGTATCTGTGTGCAAGTTTCTTTTCTTGTTTATCAGTGCATGAGATCAGTGTCTTTTTAAACAGATTAGTGGGTCAGTAGCATTAGAAGAGCAATTAGGCTCAAATGTAGCTGTATGTTAGCACAATCAAGCAATACTTTATTGGTGAAAACCTAGGAGAAATGAGTGCATCAGTGGGTCAACAGAGTAATCTACAGGTGCTCAGCAAGTATGTGGCCAAAAGGTATTTTAAATACAAATACAGTTCATTTACCAGTGTTACCACAATGATGTGTGTACTGTCAAATAGACAATAGAGACACTCTGTTGCTTGAAAAATGTAAAGTGAACAAAACATACATTTGTGGACCATGCTTATAGCCAGTAGTTCTAGAAGTCTTGATATCAGTATCAACAAATATTTTTCAGTTTTTGGTCACAGCAGCAAGACAAATATTGGATAACGTATTGTCTGGAAAAATCCATACTGGGCAGACCATCCTGATTCTGAACATATATAGAAAGGTTATAAAATATAAATTGGGAGCCTTAAGCTAATATTTGATCAGGCAGAAAAAGTCTGAAGTGAGGGGGATAGTTGAAGCAGGTGAGTGTGTCTGGGTGGTCTGGACCTGTCGTTTCTTAATAAACCTTGGATTTCGGACATAATTATAGGCTGACATCTAACCTACCACTGCAGCGCCACACATGAGCAGCGGGAGTGAAATCACTGAGCTGAGACTGTGCTGTGATTGTGCAAACATATAGAGGTGTTAGAATTGAAAAAGTGCAAATAAAAAAAGAAAACAACATGTCGACATGACCAAGTAAAATTATCCTGAAATTAACATCCTAAAATTTTATTTTTATTTATGTCTCTTTTAATAAACAAAATATTAAGATGCTATTTGGACATACCACTACACGCACCTGCCACAATTACTGGTGGTGAGAGATTGTCAGTTTTGTTTGTTTTTTTAATAATACTGTGGATTCTGAACTGCGTTTCTATCAAAACCATAATTGACTTTCACAGCAATGTGTGCTACAGTAGCTTGTCTGTTGGACTGGACCAAGCAGGCCACCCGGTGTGAATCCTCTGCACAGCCTGTTCACCCTGTATCCTTCTTTGGACCACCTTCGAATAGATACTGACCACTGCAGATTGGGAGCTCTCAACAAAAACTGCTGTTTTTATGATACTCCCAGATGTCTAATCTGTAAACGTGCCTATTTTACTGTCACATTTAAGGACAAAATTTTCACTTGAACATACAAATGATAAGTTTAATAGTCAGCAAGTCTACAATTATTTCAGTTGAACAGAGATTTTAAAAACATTTTGAAACCAAATAAAGGTCGAAATGTACAAAAAAATTTTTAAGAAAGTATATGATTCCTAATATTTTTACTCATTTTGGAATTTGGTTTGAGAATACTGCTGTTTTAGTTATGTTAAGTTTGTGCATGTATACTAGAGTCTGTACAGTACAGATAGCATTAATCAAAAAAAAGATTGTGATTCATTTTAGTAGCTGCACACCATTTAGCCCAGCCACAAACAGATGAAAGATAAAAAGGTAGGCTACCTGTTGCTCCACCTGTCAGAAGATTTTTTTCAACCCAAAATCTTATGTTACATGTAAATGTCATATTCTAAAGCCTCACATGATTTGAACAAAGCGCAGTCCTTGAGAAACTCTGCACCAGGCTCTCCATGTTATTTTGGCATATTGACTAAATCCCCTCTTTGTACATCTGTCCTTTCATTTCTCACACATTTGGTGCAGCAGCACAGCACACACTCCAGTCGCATACAGCTGTCTTTTATTTGGGCCGATCCAGCCGCACATGGCCATACAGTGTGAACTTTAACACACAGATTCCACACATTCTTTACTGGTGCGAGTTTCTCTTGTGTCCTAACCAGCGTTCGTCTCAAACCCATTAACCGTGCAGCAATGGGTTCTTCAAAAATACCTCTAACAATTGTCTAAAATGGATTCCCATATTCCCACATTCCCAAATTCCCATATCTCTATATCAGTCCATCCCAGACATAAATGAGGAATTGTGCTGGCTTGCAGTCAGCTTGTTTATGATGGCTCCTGTAGTGGCTTGCTCATGGTTCAAGATAGATGGAATGCTAATTAAACTACACTGCAATTATAAAAAAAAAAAAAAAAAAAAAAAAAAAAAAAAAGGTCTGATGAAATCATGTGGAAAGAGATGAGGCAAGCATATCTCGCAGGCAAGAGGATTCAGATTTAACATTCATTTGAAAAAAAAAAATAATTTTGAAGAACTAATTGATTTAGTTTAGTTAGGTTTAGTTTAGTCAGTTTAGTTTACTGTTGAGGATTACTTGGTGTTAATGTTACCTAATCGACCATATCAAAGATCAAGCCTTTTCTAAGCTACTTCTCTGGGAGTTTGTATATTGTATGTTGTAATGTGGTTGCAATCCAGTTACTTATCAAAACAGGTCCGAAAAGTTAAATAATAATAATGCATAATGCATAATAATGCAATGACTTACATACTTAAGTTTTACTTATATTTTCTTATTATTGATTTACTGCAATTTGGGCATACTGAGTTACACATATTTAACAGGTCCAGAATGTTGTGTGTTCTTTCCCTCTAGGATTAGAAAAGTCATTCTCAGAAGTATTGGTTAGGTGAAACAAGATCCCCAGAGAGTGTCTATAGTTTACAACAGTCTCTATCAGATACTGGGCTCATTAATTAACAACACTCCAGACAAGTAGAAAGCATCAGTCAGATAAAAAATGGATCCCGCCATGGTCCTGTGGAGGCTTATTTTACATAGACATCTTTATGCTGAGCAGAAAGTCAATTAGCTGGGCACTTTGGAGACAAACTGCTGGCGAGACGGCATCTCTAAACACATGCACACACAGACACAGACACATGCACACACACAGACACACACAGCTGAATGCACAGCCTGCTACAGGGGAATTAACACTTGATCTGTACTAATCAATATTGCTTTTTGTACGGAGTCCCGTCTCTGTATTTGAATCATCAATTTTAACTAATGAAAGTAGATTGTGTGTGTATTCTCTTTACGTCACAGGTGTGTAAAATTGTATATATCTGTGCATACCTTTATTTTCAGTTGAATGAAATATATCTTGTGTGGTAATATTTTATATATCATACATTATCATTAAATATATTAAAGATGCACTATATCACTTTTCTGGTGATCAGGAACGCCAACTTTCTGCCTCTATGGCAAGATTATTAAATTTACTATTAAACTTATTTTGTTTTGGATTTATCCAATTACAAGCAATTCAATTGCTCAAAAACATGTATTGTTAATGTGAGAGTGGTCATCTCGCCACAGATCTAACTTGGCCTGGTGGTGGTGCCTGTCTTCATAAAGATATAATGCTATATTGGGAAACACCCCTCTTCCCCAGAAAATATTTGGTGGAATTTTGAAGCAGAATATATTGCTTCAGAGAAATATTGCGATAAATTATATTACTGAAACAACTTTATGCCATTGACACAAAGCAGGATAATCCCAGTGAACCGTATCATACTGTTAACTAATAATTAGTGATAGAAGTTATTTATTCAGCCCTCTACATCTTAAATCATACATTATAATGTAAAATGGCAAAAGGAAATTGTACACAATAAATATAAATATACTGAATGATAAATAGATATAGTAATAATCATGACAGGCCGACCAGAAAAGTTCCTTAAGTTGCTTATCGACACTCAATTGACATGTGAATGAAATCTACTTTTTATCAGATCTGTAGGTGGATGTTATTTTGTCATGGCCTGATCAATGTTTAAGTAGGACTTACCATAAAAAGTCAGAAGAACAGAACTAGAAGGCATTGTGACACCCAATCTTCTCATTCTCATTCATCCCTAAAAATCAAAATACATCATTAAGACGATAACGATACAACTCAAAATAAAAGCTGCTTTCGCTTAAAATGGTCCTCCCCTCATCTCAGATTGTCTAAGCCTATTATCTCATCATCCTTTCCTCTAATAACAGGAAATAGGCAGCTGACCTTCCAGACATGTGTAGAGCACCTCACAGCTTTAAATGATTTCAGTGTCTTGCATTTGTCACCGATTAGCGACTGTATGTAGATTAAACAAGGAGCTGGGTATCTCAACTTAAAATCCCTCTTCCTGTTCAGTTCATTGATGAAGCCAGTGGCCTCTGTGTAGTTAGCAGCTGTTTGTAAGTGGAACAAGACCACATGCACACAACCTGAACTGATTACAACAAGAGGAGATCGAAAGGAAATTGGCACATACCCAAACATGATCTGTTTCTTAATTCCCTTTGGTTTTCTGCATTTGGGTTCGCCACAACAGATTTGATGGATTTAACATCAGATGTCCTTTTTGACCTCCCTATGTATTTACCCAAACTTTGGGTTTGTACACTAGCTTGTTTATGTACTAAGGTCTGTAGAGTAAAAGAGAGAGGGTCAGTCATATTGTACTTATATTACCAAGAAACCTAATCTGTGGCCCAAACCATGACTACATGAGCTAGCCTGGTGACTGGTCTGTTAATAACTTCAGTATTTTAAATACAGAAACAGTGGAGGAACTGGCTGAATGAATGATGGATGAATGGCATTGCACTGCAAATCCATCTGGGATGTTGCTCTATGTCTTATGAGAGAAAAGTCATGAAAACAAAGGCTTGTCTGGAAAAGTCATTCCAGCAGCAGCAGCAGACCTGACAGTCCATCCCTAACATCTCTGGGCCTCCATCTTGCTTCACTCTGACACTGGCATCACATTTCACTGTGAACCCTAGAGCCAGTGTGTTGTGATAAACACTAGTGCGTATTCTTCTCCCCTGCACCACCATTGTAGAAAAGTGTTCTATCCACTCAGACATACCTGTCTGGTCCCCACATACCACCACTATTAGGTTTGTTTAAGAGCATATTGCTGCACTGCTCTCATTGGCTGAAGTCACTTCCTGTAATTAAACCAGTGGAATCTAATGTTGAAGGGTCCCTGTTAAGGCTAAGACCACAACCAATGCCAAGAGGCATAAGCTTGTTGTAAGACCTTCCACCCACCTACCCACCCCCCACCCCCCCAAACATCTATCCAGTTTAACTTAACTAATAACTATTGTTTCTCCAACTAACTAAATATATAAAGACCAATACAGTAATCAGCAATTATAAGTGTGCAATAGTGAAACACATTTGAGCTTCTGTAGTCAAGTTTAAAGCAGCTTCATTGTACATGCCTTGCCCATGGTGTAGTGCAGTGACAGGCATAGGTCTGCTGCCAGGGCTGGCATAGAGTCTGGCCAGAGTCTGGCCCAGAGTCTGCCTCTGAGTGTGTCGAAAGTGACTCTGCCCTGGTTCAATGGGCTCAGTGTTGGTGGGCCACACAGCTGCAGAGGTGTCCTGGCCTAGAACAGCATAACAGAGTGAGGTGTGCCTGTGGACACGGAGATGTACCTGTGGACAGAGAGACGGGCTTGTGGACAAGGGGATGCTTGGACAAACAGAAGGAACAGTGATGGGGAGGACCTCCTCTCTGAGTTCACTGTGGTTTTGTCTGCTCTTCAGCCGTCACTCATATATTGCTCTTGACCTCTTGCCACAACACACTGCCTCTGTAGACCACTGCCAGATGTGGAAAGTAACACACTCACTATTCACTTTGTTGGTACAGCTTCCAGATTTACTTGGCAATAAAACGACAGAACTAAGTTTTTGGAAACAATAACCAACTGAGCAGTATACAGATTATAAGGAATCAGAAAATAGGTTACCAAATACAAAATAACTGATGCGACAATGATGATGGAGCGAATTGTAGTGGATGAAGGCTTCCCTCGCTGATAAGCATCACCATCATCTCACTGTCCCCTTGCTCCGGTAAAACCGCGGGTTCCCACTACTGTAACACAACACAAACATGCCCGTCTCTAATCAGCTGCAGCACGCACAGCAAATGAGTTTGGTCTCCGTAAATGTACGACTTGATAGGCTAATCACAACCGCAAGACGAGTGCTGCTCCTCGAACTCCGCTCACACACACGAGCCCTCAGCCACATTCCGACAAAATAAAGTCAACTTACCCACTTCCTCTTGTTGAGACACTCGAAAAGTTCCCAGCTTGTCTCGATTCCTAGCGTAGTGTCTTGAATCGCATGAGTTGCATCGTGTAGTTCTAGTTTCCCAAAGTGTAATAGCCCGGGCAGTTTGAGGCTGGACTAATGTGTCGTCTGCGCGCACAGCTCCCACCTCCGACGCCTTGGAGAAGTGCAGACGAGGGCGCTCGGCTGAACATTATAGACTTCATGCACTCACACCTGTGTCACTTATGCAAAATCAGGACATCACGCATGTCTCTAGCGTGTCATGCTAAACTATATAGGCCTATGCGTGTAAGTTGCAAGTGAAGAGGCGTATGCCCAATGGCTGTTGTTTCTGTCTGAGTCTCCAAGGAGATAACATTACTACACAGGTAAGTAATGCTTTTTGCTTCTTGTCTGACTGGTACAGATTTATAGCTCACAGAAACATTCAGGGCAGGGCTCTACAACTTAATAGGGGTTGATAAATCAATTATACACGCAACATTATCATTACCCAACTGTTACCCCAAGCTTTACAGTCTTGATAAACAGAATCTGAACAGTCAATATCCCCTTTTAAGCAATACACAGAACAAAAATTCTGTATTCCAGTGCATTGTGTTTTTGTTGCATTTATTGAAAATATAGAGAACAATGTTTCATTTAGAAATTTTACTTAGTTTGCAAATGTAAAAGAGAGCTGGGCCTGCGTCTGGAAAATGTACACTTTAACACGAACAGTGCTCAGGGTAGTCTTGGGAAAAATGCAATACCTTTAACATACAGTGTTATGTCAGTCAGCATAGTAGTACTATTTGAACCTCAATGGAATTTGTTTATTAATGCAAAATAAGTTTCATATTAACTAATACATCTACACACGTTTTCTTTTTACAAAATGGCTTGTGCAACATTATCTCCCACCATGTTCTTTCTCTTTTCAGCAATATCTAAATTATAACACCAAATGCACAATAACATTTAACATAAATTAAACATTAAACTAAAACTACCCCCCCAAAAAACACACAAAACAAATATTTAATACACATTATATTAATGGCACAACAGCAGCCATTAACAAACTACAAACAGAAGGTGCATACATACAAGTTTTGAAATGTACTGCTAACAAATTTTTTGTGGTGCTGCATATAAAAGCATTGTTAAACCATTAGTCTCCAATGTGGTGTGAATGACAGAATTGTATTACATTGTATCTGGCAGATGATTAGATGTTGACAGAGTGAGCGTGCGTCTTGCATAATGGCTTGTCTTTTTTGGAAAAGAACGGCTGGCCCTCCAGGGAAACACAGCAGACCTAGTGGAGAGAGACAAAGACATTTCATAGTTACACATAACTGTTGTCGTAGCAATAATGTTACAGGACTTTTTCCTAGAAGTTCAAGCTGGAAGTAAAGTTTGGACCTACTGTGCACACAAAGCAGGTGTCATGATAGGTAACTCCCAGTGCCTCTATAAACTTGTCCCCTGCCTCAATAGGGAAGTCACAGCCATGGCAGTTGTTCCCAAAGAGAGAGTAGTAGTCTGAGGAGAGAGAATTTTTCAACAAAATGGTCTTAAAATGACTGTCATCATTTCTTTTAGAATCTGACCTTGTTCACAGTATGGTTGTCCATCCTCCATGTGAAAAGCGTTGCCTCCGATTGGTTTATGACAGGCACTGCAGACAAAACATGATGCATGCCAAGTCTGCTTCAGCGCATTCACAATTTTCTGCAACAAAAAGTTCAGAAGAATTTGTATTAAACACAATATTTCCAGCTGGTAATGATTCAAATTTTGCCACATACCCCGAGAATCTTCTGCTGGCACTTAAAGCAGGTGGGAGCGAACATGGTCTCGTAGCAGTGCACGCAGTACAAGTTGCCCTTCTCCTCCACAAAGCCATTTTCTGCCAGGGAGGAGCGGCAGTGATCACAGTTGAATTCCTCAGGGTGCCATGACTTGCCCAGTGCCATGAGGAACGGCCCTCTTGGAAAACAAATCAGAGATACACAAGGCACAAGGCCATGTTGAACATTGGGTCCAGCTTGGCCAGTGTTCTAGTAGCTTGCTGGTGATTTTCCATTATGTGATACCTGATGATATTGCTGCACTTGTTGCACACAGGAGTTCTGGTGGCAGCTGGCATGTGTTCTGCCCGCTGCACCAGAGAGTCCAAGTCCTGTGGGTGAGGCTGTGGGGTGGGGCGGTCTGGACCTCTGGGTGCTGGACCAGTCACTTTGCCAAAAGAAGGAACAGGGCCACTCTTGGGAAAACCTGAACAAGAATAGGAATGGGTAAAGATGTGGTGTATGTGTAATAATGCACTGTACAAAAATTCTGATCCTAAGGAAGGTCTAATACCCAATGCCAATATTGATACCACAATAAAAATGAAAACACACTTTTCTTGGAAAATACAATGTACACTTTGCAACACAAAATTGTATTACTTTTTATTATAAGCATGTGGTCTTACACTTTGACAAGCGTATAATTGTGATCATACAAACACCTCACCATGCTGTTAAAAAATGCAATACAAAAGTAAAAAAAAAAAAAAAAATCTAACTCAGTGATAAATATTCAGTCAGAAATGTTCTATTAACACTGTCCACGCCCTTTTTCATCACAGTTGCTGAAAATACACTCAGCAAATAAATTTGTTCAGTTGGTGAATTCAGCCAATCCACAATAGCCTGACAAACAAACCAAAACCAGCCTAATAAAAACAGTGTTTGAGTCTTGTGACTATAGTCCAAGTTGGAGCATTGAAAACAGCTGGACAAGACGAAGCGCCCAGCCCATAGAGCAAGGATCAATTTTTCCCCCATTCAGAAAAACAACACATTCCCAGAGTCAGAGGACACACCTGGAAAAATAATCCCCCTCCTCCCATCTCCACACTGGGGAAGATGAACAGTTTTCATTTCTTTTTCTCAGACCAAAGATGTGTGCTGAATAGAGGTCAGTGGTGGCTGCCCCAAAGGAAATGCCTCAGTGTGGTGGGGGTGAGAGGGGGTCCAGGACAGAGACAGTATTGAGGGAGAGCCCCATTATCAAAGACTACTGGGGTCAAAGGATAAGTGCTCCTTAAATTTATTTGTAGCTGTGTGCAAACCAGACTGAATACACAGAGGTGGCACTAAGAAACACACTAGTGATGCAGTGCTGTGGATCAGATCATACACACAAAAAAGAAAGTAATGATAGAATGAAGAAATATTAACTGTCAACTATTGTGCATGCTATAAGGCACGAGACAACAGATTAAGAACCAATAGCATCATTATTATTATTACAGTTCCATATGTATTTTAGTTTATACTTTCATATTTGCAGAGCACACCAAGAAGTGTTTGCCTATGTTTGCCTGCATTGCTTGACAATCTTGTATCATAAAACCCAACCATAAGCACATTAGGAGTTTAGGTTTAGTCTTAATTGTTTGCTACTGAGAATGAAACAAACTCCACATCCCTGATTAGATACAGTTAAACATTTGCATTACTTTAAGTCTCCTGTAGGATGGACATATAAAGCCCAGTACAAGGCATCAGCACTTCTCCAAGGTTACAACCCCCTCTGAGGATAAACTAAAAATTCTAGATGATTCATCACCTGTGCGTTTTTATTCTCCTGGGCTATAAAAACATTTTAGCATAGCTCACATCTTTTCAATGTCAAACGTGACAATGATAAATGGAGGCAAATTGAATGGGGCCATATCACACAAAGCCAAAGTGTTAAAGCTGATTCATCAGACCGCAGAAGAGAGCAGACAAATCACTGATAAAATGGTGGTGGGGAAATTGCCTTGAATATTTGACACAACACAATGACAGTATGAAAATCAGCTGAAAGGGAAGTGTTTGCAATACAGACACCATTTCAAATATTTTGATTTGGTGTCACATGACTTAATCTCTGTGAAAGCTGCCTCAGCGTGGTGAAAGATGACAAACAGTTGGAGGGGCAAATTTCTCTAAACGAATCCGTTGGCAGAAGGCGAGATTGTGAGCACAGCCACATTAAGTAGGACAGCAGATGAAATGCACTTTTGTTAGTCTGTCAGTGCTGTGGAGCTGTGTGAGGAAGATAAGGAGCAAGAAGTCACGCTGCAGAAGGCAGCCAACTCAATCACAGCAGGACATCGCATTTCTCCAGCAGCTCTGTCTGTCTGAATTTGGCTAAATGGGAGGCAAAAGAAAAGGCATCCTATGACCAAATATTACTGCAGTGAATAAAGAGCCTGTTTATCACTTTACTTGTAACTGTGTCAATATAGCCCAGAGCTATGGCAATGACAAAGAATGTATTTTGCTTTTTCAATATTGGGATTCATATTTTGGATTCATTTGCAGAAAACCTTCTCAACTTAACTGTCATGCAGAAAGTGCACTATTGGCGCCTGTACATAGCCTCTCTCTACAACTGCACTTGTAATTGCCAATGATTTTATGTAAGTGTCAAGAAAGGTCAGTAATGGGGCATGAATTTACATTTAATGAGGGCCTCAATTTCTGTTTCAAAAAGTGAATGATTTCTGTACTATTTTGCAATTTAAAGGTCCAATTTATTTCTAAAAGGATGTATGACTGCTTAACAATCTTTTTTTTTTTTTTTTTTTTTTTTTTTTACCATTCTGTGGAACTTATGGCTGATTGAAAAGCACTTGGTCAAACATATTTGAGGTTTTTACTTTTTTTAAATGGGCAAATATGGCCAGAGCCTGGTCAAGGGTATGAAGAAAGAGGTTTCCTTTGTTGTAGTACATGCATAATAGGACTCACATTTGTTAATAGAATTTGTTAAACAAATCTCATTAGGACTTGTGTAGTTGTTTATTCATAGTTAAGTAGGTGATAAACCTACACATAATAAAAAATGGTCTACAGTGGACTTTTCTCTTTAAAAAGAAATGTGTTTTTCAAAGTCTGTAGTTTCACAAACACACACCAATCTGGTTAACAGATACTGAATCTATTCAGGAACGAATGGTGTACTTGTGTTTTACTATTACTAATAATGACCCCTAACCCAGAACTTTTTAGTAAATATTTGCTGTAATTGGTCGGAGGTCCCATAGCAGAACTTACAGACTTACAAAGCACCTTTCACACAAATAAAGCACTTAATTCTCAATTTCACAACCTGTTAAAGTAAGGAGATCCTGGAAAAAGCTATAATCTAAGCTCATTAACAAAATACCTCCTGTTTTTATAGCACTCACAAGTTCAGTGCTGAACCAGTATGACATTACAAGTAAAGGCCGCCCTCTGCTGGACAAAATTATAAACAACAGTTTAAAAAAAGCAATAAGCATACCTGCAGGAGAGGCAGTGTGGGATCCTGGGCTCTTGAATGTGGGAGCAGGAGCCGTGTTCCCATTCTTGGGTGAAGGTGCAGATTTGGAAAATGGTTTTGCTGCAGGTGATGTGTGGACAGCAGGAGTAACATTGTCAACCGATTCCCTGGTAGTAAAAAAGACAGCTTATCAAAACACTGCTGACATTTCTGAAGAGTCTTATCATCATACATTTGTTTGTCTATGTTTAGGATTCATTAAAATAAGAGAAATAAAATGTACAGTGATGCATGATTACAAACAATCTAAACAATTACAGGGTACATAAAATGAAAGGACATACACTGCTGGCCTATTTTCCATATGGCTGAGTAATTACTGCCATAAGGGAACAATTATGTGCTCTTATGCTTGCTATCTACCATACAATTTGCAATTCAATATGTCCCAAACTGTTGAGAAACATTCTTAATATAAAATGTTTTCAGGTATAACTTACAACTTTTAGGTCTTCATTTTTTTGAATCAACATTTGTTAAAACATGTTAACAGTTTAGGAATAATTCAAATTTTATACTAAATATGATGCACCAAATTAGACTTGGATGTAGCTCTACAACTTCTGATTCTGGCTGCTAGTAATACTTTCACTAGCTAGGACCACGCCAACAACGACATAGTGCGAAGAAGTTTATTGATAATGTACTAAGCGAGACAGAGATGGCTGGGTTGAGACTATGGGTGGGGGCTCCGTCTCAATCTACAATTGGCCCAGCTGGGACGGGACCCCCCCCTTGTAGGGGTCTTATGACTGAAAGACAAAATAGGGGATGGGAGGGTGGGGTCGAGTTCACCGAGACAAACTGGGATGATGGGAAAGGCTGCTACATATAGGCTTTTGGGAAATTAGAGGCGTGGTCGAGGTGAGTTGTGGTTCCCTGGTGAGAGGAGAGGGCGGCTGAGGCGTGGTCTTGCTCCTGAATCTCAGTTAATCGTATTAACTACATTTATGAACATAACAGAACTTTCATTTCATTTTTCATTTCATTTTACGCCATCCATGTATTCACCATCACCATCCACCTGTACTTGAAAAATCTCTTTTCTTCTTCTAAGTCAGTAGAATACTTGGACTACAAAGCACTCCTATGCATCATACTCGTGGGAGGCATTGGCATAAACGAGTGGTGCTTACCATTAAGAAGTTTTAAGCTACAAAGGAAATATCTCATCTTGTATTGTCTTCTATATTCTCTGATGACTTTGTCTCCCTTTTTTTTAACTGATAGGTGTTCTGCTTCAGCATTCTGACCTTCACTGCCTTCACACATAAAACAAATTTTTTAGATGTCGTTGATCTTCATTAAGTCAGAAGAAAGGCAGTTAGGGATTGAAAGTTGAAAGGAAAAGAAAACAAAGAAAAAGTTAAGCCTAAAATCAAAGATTTATTGTGTGAACACAAGAAAAGGTGAAGATAAATTTAACAAAGAAAGAATATAGGTATGATCAGGCACAGCATTAGATTAGACAGCTTGCATTTGACAAACACAAATGAGGAAAAACATTCTCAACACCTACATGTACAGTATAAAGAAATTGTAAACAAATTACAAAGACTAACATGAGTGAGTATACGAATTAAATAATATACCCAAATATTGTGTAGTGATTTAACTGCAATATCTTATAGCAACATCAAAAGTCTTGCAATAATTTAGTGCACTGTATAACAATAAATAGAATCACAAGCAGCTTTGCCTAAATACATGCTTTGTTTCAGTAGCATGCCAAAAAACAAGGGAATTATATAGATCATGGCTGACACCTTAGAGGAAAAAAATGCATTTCTAAAACACCTTTAACCTATCCTTAATATTACAATACATATTGAAAATATTAGTATTTATAGTAATAGTACTGTAGTATTGTAATGGTACTGTGACTGATATTGTATTGTGAGATTTGTTTTAGATCATTGGATATTTGTTGGTACAATTATGACTGACTGCTTTGCAAGTCATGGACAAACTAAATAAATGACATCTACTGTACATTGAGCACTCGGGCTGAGACGCCATGATGCCAGTCCCTCAGCTTGTTGTACTTGTGTCCTATCTCCTCTGGGTCCAGCTTGTTTGCTCTAACAAGGCACAAGAGAAAAGAAGAAGAAAAAAAGAGGACAGTTGCCATTAGGACATAGCAGAAATGTTGAAAAGATGGGAAAAGGAGGGGAAAAGGTTTCACAAGTATATATTGTAAAAATAAAGCAAAGTGAACTAGCTACATATCCAGGCAAAACTGAGATATGCAAATTAATATCAATATGACTGCATTTAATATGTTGACTGTGTAGTAACTTGTTTTTCCCTATAAAGCAAACAGCCAAAGGAATGATCAGTGTGTGTGTAGTACAAGCAGACAGGACATGCACCACTGTGGACATTATCCCCCAAACCACTAAATTATCCACTGCTCCTGGTGAATGACATGTGATTGGTTGAACATCTGCTACAGAGGGCACACTATGTTTACAGCAGATTAGGACAGAGAGGAGCAGTTAAAATCACTGGCTATGTTCGATGTGTGGCTCTACTGTCTTCCCCTCTGTGCAGTTTCTTCCAGTTAAGTCTTAAATGAAGCATAATGTGGCTGGACCAGAGCATAAGGAAATCAGCGTTTAACTATGAAATACAAGCCTGCACACTAGAGCTTTGTGAGCCAAATCAGAATGGGAAACCACAATATAAATGGAGTAAACGCCAATGTCTCCTGGAAATGTACACAACAAAACTGAAACATGAAACGCAAAGACTTACTTCTTTCCACTTGTCTCTGGGGTTTGCTCTGGAAAATAAAAAGCACTGATTAAAAAGTGATCAAAGGTTTAAAAAAAATTAATAACATCCTTCCAAATGAATTATTAAATCGCCAAACACATCCATTCAAAGTTAAACAGTAAAAGCTGTACTTTTCCACAGCTGGTTTAAACTGTTCTGGTTTAAGCATTGGGCCAAAACCAAATAGAGGGAAGCCACATCTCTCTTCACACTTCATCTTAATCTTCATCACTCCCTATAAATGTCATAATTGTTTTTGAAACAGACAGTGAACCAAAGACCACAAACTAACCATGCAATGATAGTACTACCCTCTCTGCATACTTAGCTGTCTTTACGTTTCCTATTAAAATGAACCAACCTTGAAATATGTAAACTTATCTAAGACACTAAGAAACTAAAAATATATAGATAGGACATGTATGTAACGTATTTGGGGTCACCATACTTACCATTCTCGGTGCCAGTCATTTGGGCCAGGATCCTGAAGGAGCGGGACTGAGAGGTGCCAGTGCGCGGGTGCCAGTCCTCAGTGTCCTCAATAATGCGTTTTTTACTGGCATCACTAAGAGGAGGGGTGTGGTTCATAGGAGGTTCTGTGGGTTTCCTGACAATACAAAACACATCCATTGCTCATTACCTTTTGGAATTAAAATGGACAGTAATGCCACAAACATTTCAAGCTATTTAGTGCTTTTCATAAAACTACCAGTGCATTTTAAAAGGACACGCCACACTGTGAGAGTATCAACCACATTTACCTCCTAGGCATAGTTGGAGGAGGAGTTCTGCAGACAACACACATAGGGTACATAGAGACATAGTTTAGTTTTACATAACTCCTTTCTATTCCACAAATAAAAGCATTGAACTAAGCAAAGTTAACTGGTCAAACATATCAGTCACATTCAGGCATTAACGTTCATTGTAAACTGTGATAATGCAGTAGTTAATAGTGACCACACTCCACCACAAGATGGAGCTAATGACTTCACATGGCACCTGTGTTGTAAATCAATGCAATAGGTGGAGAAATGGTCCAAAATCTTCAAAAGAGGGAAATTATATGGTATGAGATAATATTTGAATAACTGACATGAGACATTGAGTGGCCTCGGCTGGACACTTTGATGACAGATTCCATGCTACTCACAGCTGTACACAGAGGTGGTTAGTACTTGGTCAAATTTACATGTATTTTAAAAAATCTATAAATTTGTACTTTTCAGAATAGTTTTCAAACACAACATTAATCCTACTTAAGTTATAAATCTGACAATTTAACAGTGCTCTTAACTGAAGTAAAGGTTTTAGTTACTCTTACCACTGAGTCTAGTGTCTAGTGACAAGATTTATGCGGTCAAAAACAAATTATTTGATATATTTCAGATATTATTTCATTTTTTTTTTTATTTGGGTTGTTTTGTGATGTCATTTGAAAAGGCCAGAGGTTGTTTTGTTGTTTAATTACATTATGTAAACCATAAACCATTCATAAATTAGATTTAAATTAGACAGTTACTCGTACAGTTGCTCTTATTTGAGCAGTAGATACTTTTTACTTTTTGTAATCTTAGTTGTCAAACTTGGTACTTCTACTTGAGTTATTTATGAAGTAACACTGATTCATGGCTACACTACTCATCTCTGACTGCACAGTAGTAGTATGGAACAGTGTCCTGACAGGCCTATAGCAGCCTTCAGACTAAATACCATGTTAGCGGACAGAAAGTCTTTTTTCTTTTTTTCTTGAGAATATGAATGATGGCAGTACCTCACCAGGCTTTCTCTGAGATGGATTAGTTACAACATTTCATATGAGGCAGTGTGAGAGAAGACAAGTATAGTTGTGAGGTTTTGAGAGGGTCCACGCATGCCTTTGGTAATCACAAACCAGAGATGAGAAAGCTATAATCACATTCCACGTGGTTAGAAAGCTATTGCGCCACATACAGAATATTATCATTCAGAACACTAACTTGGTTTGCATCTCTTCTTCCTCCTGTGGGCAAAGAAGCAGAAATGGAAAAGGACTGAAGCCAAAGGACTGAGCAAAGTCCCTATTAAATTAGCTGGAAATTAATGGCCCTTCTGAGAGAATTAACCAGTTAACCAACACAAGTCGGCAGGCAAAGACATGGAAGAGAACATTTCAATAGGGGCAGTTTACAATTAAGAGTGTGTTAGGAATGGTTAGGAACAACTCAGACAACTTTTGAGTAAAAAAGTATGATTGTGGAATATTGTCTGACATCTAGTGGTTAGTGATGAGACTGCGCTCAAATACTCCAAGTGAAAATTGCATCCAGATTAAAGTGTACACTATCTAACAGTCTTCATATGTTTAGGGTGTCAATCCCTGGCTTTAACATGAAAGCAGAACATGGCAGTTGGCACATAATGAAACAGCCCTGTTAAATCCACAGTGTGGTGTGGTCTAGAAAACTTCTACAGATGTAGCAGGACTTAAGTCAATTTATGTTGTCTAGTCTTTGTTCTCTTTCCTGTGTCAACACAGCTGGTCTAAAACATGATATACACAGTTTAAGATTAAAAGAGGGAGAGCTGGGAAGAAATTCTACACTTATGTTTTATATTGTCAGTGTGTTTATAGTTTTACTTGAATTTCTGACAATCCGAAAACATTTGTGTCACAGTATAAAGATGTTTTGCTACTAAACCAATAGAGCTATTATTGGTTATTTAACAGGAGTGCTAATAATATGCATTTTAAACATACCCATTGAGGACATCTGAAAGGCCCTGGCTCTCCAGCAGGCCCCTCCTTTGCCCCATGACAACCTCACAAGCGTTAGTGCTGGAGTAGAGGTTTATGGGGGAGTTATAGACGGATGGCTGCGGGACAGTGGGCAGGGAGGATGTGGCTGGTGTGAACGCAGAAGATTCCGAGGGGATGGAGGCTACTTTGGGGGGAGTGGTGGTGCGGCTGTTCACTCCAAAGGGCCTGGGCGTCTGGTTGCATGCAGGACTGACCTGAGCTGGGGTCTTACTGGTGATGGAGGCCGTGGGGTTTGAAGCGGTGTGGGTGATGGGCACAGGTTTAATGATCTCCTGAGCTTCGCCCTGGGTGAAGGTGAGAACACAAAACGTGCAAACACAGCAGATCCACAGTCAAACCATGCATGACAAAAAAGTGCACATTATGGCATTCATGAGCAGAGAAACAAGTTAATCACACCTTCGACATTTAATTATTTAAATCAGTTGGGAGAGCTACACATTCGTTGTTCAAATTATCCAGCCAAAATTATAGTTATAATTTTTTATTGTCTTACCTTAGGCAATCCATTATTGGGGGCACTGGATGGTCTGTGGAGAAAGAAAAAAAATATATAACAGAGTAAAAATAAACTAAAACACCTGCGGCAAAATAAACAACATTTGGATCATAAAGATTACTAAATGTTGCTGGACTTTTGGTTCTACATTGAAAGCATATGTACTGTATATGGGCATAACCTAATACACTGACCTTTCTAACTGTAGGAAAGTTGGCATGGAAAATTGTGTGGAATTTGTAATTACTGAACAAAATATGTAAAAGCATTGGTATGTCTGAAAACATGGATCATGGATGGGTGTGTCTGATTTTCATAAGGATGATGTGGGGTTTTTTGTTTTTGTTATAATCTGTTGACTATGTTGACTACAGATCACTTAGATTTGCTTTAAATAGCTTTTAACTGCTCAATTTTGAGGTTTTTGACAAATAATTTTTGAGATTGCTTTGTTTTAGAACAACTATTTGATGTCATGAAATTATTTCAGTCTGTGATTTCAGAAATGTTATTCCTTAAAATAAATCTAATGAAACATGAATGGAGGCAGCTGCCCTTGTTAACAATGCATTCTTTAAGGCCCAGTGCTTTCAGACAATACGTCCCCTATTACTCATTAAAAACAAATCACAAACCCTAGTCTGGCGAATAAGGAAGGCTGTTCCGGACCCTGGCCTCCGGTATGTCCGCTGGCATCCTTCCTCCCTCTGCCAAATTAGACCAACAAGCACGCACTCACACATTTCCTTTTGGACAACAGAGGCTAGCACCAGATCAGAGCCCCACCCATCTCCTCACCAATTCAGACCTGACCCTAATAGAATCAACAGCAGTCAGATTCTTCACACTAGCCACCAACAATATATAACAGGATGCCTATTTTCCAAACTTGGATGGATTTGCTTATGGAGAAAAATGACAAACACAGTTTCATTCCACACTCCATATGAAGTGAAATCTGCACAATGGGTCAGTCTATAACATCAGAAAGACAGAGGGAGAAAGCAGCATGGTTTGACACTCAATTCAGCTCTTTTCTAGGGTGGTCCCAAAAACATCTGCTTCCTGGTTTGGAGTTTCCAAGCCACTCTGGTCAGGTGTGGCTTCACTTCACAACAATCAGAAAGATTCCATTGGATATTTGATCATGCTCATAAGATGGAAATCATAAACCTAAATTAGTGGTTAATGAAATAACACAATGGTGTTAACGGTTTCTGTATTAGATCAGACAACTTGTAATGAGTCTGACTGACTACGCATCAGGCACTATAAAACAGTAATCTCTAATGAAACTACAAATTCAATTATTAATTAACTAGGAGGAAGGACTAAACCTTATCACAGAACAAAATAATGTGTAAAGTGGACCTAACCAGATTTCACCCATTAAACAAGGATTCAAATCAGACAACTCAGACTTAAAGGTGCATTGTGTAACTTGTCTGGTGGAGGGCCCATCAAACCCTTTTCTCTGTGGAAATATTGTTGCTTTGTCTGGAATGTTTCATAGTATGGTATTAAATCTTTCTATTGTCATGAAGACCAAACCAGCGCAAGTTACAGGTCAGATCTGTGGAGAGGAAACCCTACTCACAGTCAGAAACAGTTTTTTTTCTTTTTTTCTTTTCTATTTTTGGTATTTTTGAGCTGTAAAGCCACTTGTAACTGAACAAATGTAAGGTAGAGCTATTTAATGTCATACTGGGGGACATTCCAGGCAGAGCAATGGCATATCCATAGAAACAAGCAGATGACAGATCTCCATAGGAACAGATTGCCAATTCTCATCTCAGTGAAATTTTGAGGTATACATCATGTCCTTGATGTCAGATAATAGATAATAGATGATAATATGCAATTATTATTTTCAGCATATCATTATTATAATTATTCAATGTCAAGACAGAGACAGAGACTTTCTCCTGTTTCATTTCACTTGCCAGTTTACCCAGGAATAAGCCCGGGGGAAAGGCGTCTCAACACAGTTCCAAAGCCCACTATCTGTTTAGGAGCCAAGAGAAACAGTCTGGCATATGGCACTAGGTTCTAATGTGGACTACTTGTAATATAAATCCCTCCTCAATGAAAAAATTCTGCACCTTTAGTAACAGGAAAAAAGATTTCATATAGCAATTGTAAAGTATTAAACACATTAAAATGAAGATGAAATTCAAAGGTAAATAAATTGTCCCAATTGTGTTTGTTTTGTGTAATAAATTCTGACACAGTGGGAGATCTGCCACACATCTGTTTTCCAAGGTTCACCACAGCAAAAATACAGTGCATGGAATGAGAAAAACAAGGAAACCAAAACAAATTATATAAAGTAGGACTGGAGCCAGCCAATATGGAAAAAGTATAAGTCTTTTTTGTTTGTCTACATAGTTCCATGTCTACACATCATTTCTCTCTTCCAAAATGCCCTTATTTGTCCAGGAAAGATATTCTAATGTGTCTGAATACTGCAGAGAAAAGATTAAGCAGACATGTTAGCAGCTATTTTCGGAAGCTCAGTACAGTTAACTAGACAGCCTGACGGTGCTGTCAGTTGCCTGGATACCAACATTGTTTGTGCATGTCTCTGTTTGTCCACATGAGATACAGCAGGGCACTTGTCTTTATCACAGTCACACGGACTTTGTTGATATGGGACATTTGGCTTACGCGTCATAATAAAAGAAAATCTGTGACCAAATGATAATGTCTAAAAGACATGAAATACAATGAGGAATAGCAATGGATGTGTTAAATCCATGTTTATTATAGATAATAATCAAGTAGGATTATTCACTGGAAATGGATCAGGAACACTTCCAAAAGTCTCCCTAAAAAGCAGACCATAGAAGACATTGGACTGAAGAGCCTGACATTATGTAACTTTTCTGGTTCCTTGTTATGTTATTGCTTTACCTAGAAAGTTCCAAGGTGTGACATTAATCTTAACTCCATGGAGATAAACAGGTGATGCTGCTAGGAAAAGTTACTAAACTCCACTCATATTTTTAGCAATAAAACCTCTTATGCAAGATACATTAGTTAAATGCCATATATTTCAACGCAATAACATTTCCATGGAGAAACATAGATAGGGCACCTTTAAATTATGTTGATTATGAAGATTTAAAAGGCTCACATTGCATTTACAGTTCCTGGTTCCTCTACCCTACACTAATAGGTTTGCCATACTGCAAAGACAGATTCAAATTTGCATTTAATAGTAGCCAGAATACTCTACTTAATCAAGAACAGGCCCACTGACATAACCTGAAAGGGAAGATTTTTTCCTTGTGGTTGGATCCATGGTCTATTCCAACCACAGTTAGATAAGCCACTACTTAACTTCATGCATCATTTGAAAGCATGTCCAGACGAAAATTACGGCCCCTTTCCCTTCTCACTCCGTTACTGACCAACATATCACATCTGGCCCAGGGTAGCCATAGCATTCAGCAGGGGTTAGCTTGTCCTCCAATTCACCCCTTTAAACCACAGAGTAGGTGCACGTTGGCGATCACAAACGACCACACACTTTCTTGAACTTAAACTGGACCCTACAAAGTGACCCTCTTTTATAAACATCTGTCAAGCAGCTTCCAGTTTAACAACAGAGCAGAGCTTCTTAATCAAGTTGGAAAGGGCAGCTCCAGGTCATGTGACAAAAACACTGTCTATGGTAGATTTACACAGTGAGGTAAAAAGATCTAAAGAAGTTCTTGTCTAAACATTGAGACATGCTATAACCTGTGATGAGGTCTATTACAGGTTTTGGAAGCCAGGTGGAGACGGCCACAACCTCAGCAGAGTGGTGTTTCATTGCACCCCAACAGCAGTTTTCAATACAATAAATAAACATCAATTAGCATACCTTCCTAAGACCACTTCCTCTACTGCTGCCTACTATGGAAAGAGCAGAGAACATGGAGTCCCTTTCCAAAGTACTACTTCACTGTCATAAATAGTTAAGAGCGATGATGGACAAGACTTTCAGTTACTTCAAGGAGTAAGAGCTCCACAAATTCACTCGCTCACTATGAAAAATTTGGGGGTAAACTATCGACTAATTTCACCAAAATTTCATTGATATCTTTTGGCACGTACCAAGTATTTTTATTTTTTAAATCTAGCAACATTATTTGGATCTGCAGCAACACAAACATTTTTATACAATTAAGTTATGCTATTGAAATGTCCCTATACTTACAAGAAGGCAAGAAAAACAAGGCACAGTCATGTATCCTCAAAGTCAAGAGGTTGCGTTAGGACACGTCCTTGCTGTGTTAAATCTAGTTGGTGATTAAAAGGAAAGGTGTTAAGTCACTAAATAAAACCTTCTATCATAAAAACAACACAAGCCATTAATTGCCAAGATGTAGCCCTCCTTATAAACTCAGTTGGACACTAAACACTTCATTCAAACAGTAGACACTAGAACAGTAGACACTAAATATATTACTAAGCTTTCATTAACAATAAAACAACATTAGGTCCCCCAATATAATAGTACTCTGGTCACATCAGGAGCAGAATTTTCTAGTGCAAATGACAAGTGGGATAACTGCTTTGCCAAAAACAACACATTTCTTCCTTGATATGGTCATCTCATAAACTCTACATTTATTTAAATAATTAGAATACGAATGGCACCATGAGAAACTCTAGTCTTCACAGTTACCTTTGTAAGCACTTGTAGAAGGTTTATTGGTCTTGACTGGTGTGTGATCTTAAATGGAGCTATAAATAAACCAAATCAAAATGAAATGAAACATGCAACAAGTGGCTCTTTGTTTACGACATGTTCTTGTAGTTTACATTTTCCCCGTGAGCTGAGCATGTCTGATGTCTCACTGTGTCTTTGTTACACTGCAGATTACATCCAGCTGTGGGACTGGGCTATTTTGGGACTATTTTCTCACGATCAGAGCCCCAGGGGCTGCTCCGTTCTTTGATGTGTGCTAATGGAATGACAGATAGCTAGCTAGTTTCTGGTGACATGTTTTACATTGTACAGTTCTAAATCCTGACACCAACTTGGCGCTTGAGCTTGTAATGGAATATTGAAATTCATAACAAAGATGATTCTAGCATAACATTGAATAATGTAGTTCAGATGATTCATTGAGAAAGATTAACGTGTCTATCAGAGCTTGGGGTACAGGCCTTAAGGAATTAGAGTCGGATCAGTGTTTCTCTGATTGGTTAATCCGCCTGTCAATCACACCCATCGGAAATAATGAAGACAGTGTATGAGACTGTAATATCTTTGTTAAGTAGAGTAAAAGCCTGTATAGTCATAACTGGTCAAGCAAAGTATTATATAATATGTAAAAATGTAACAAAAAACAAAAAACACACATATTGCCATTAAAACGCATACAGCAATTAACAAACTTTACCGGGGTTACAGCTAATCAAGTCGTACATTAATTGAGCTATGAATGTATTTTTACACTAATATAGTTTTATTTAGTTTGTTTTATTTGAATGATTTAACCATTGTCTAACGACTCAAAAACTGTAACTCTCTATTTGGTCGATTAGCATTAGTCAATCAGTTAGTCTTAAATCAGAGTTGTTTGAAGAGAAACAACCCCAAAACTTTTCGCTAAACACTGATAATATGCCTAATGTTAATTGACTGTACAGAAGTTGTCTCAAGAAGCCTCAGCTATTCTCATTCGGCACATGTGAAATGCAGACGTTTCAGCATTGGCTCTTACGTGCTTTGCAGTCTAGGTAAACACTAGGTAAACATTAGAACAAAAGAGGATGTGGTGTAGTGATGTAATGGGTCTTGACAGGTGAGAGCTGCACATAGAACATGTCTTTATCTGTGGTTTTGGCAGTTTCACGTTAAGATTAAGACACACCCACTGAGGATCTTCTTGTTTATACTTCCCTTTTGCTTTAGGTCTGTGGTTTATGACATAACATTTATGTGAAGATGTTTTCTCTACATACATTAAAGGATTCAAAGGAGGTCAAAAGTGAGGAAATATATAAGTAAAGTATAATGCAGTATTACTTCTGTAGGGTGAGGCTGAGCTGGTCTGTGCTGGCTTTGATCTTGTTCTGAGCCTCCAGGTGGTTCATGCCCTCAGTGGAAATGCCGTTTATCGACAAAATGATGTCTCCAACAACCATCTTTGCTTTGGCTGCCTTTCCTCCATCGGTCACCTGCCCACAGAACAGAACAGACTGCAGTTAGAATACATATATGTACATTTACACTTTTCATTCTATGGGGTATAGGCACAATTTGTTTATTATTTGACAAGTAGTTTATTATTGCGCATCATAAATTTTAACAGCACTGGTAGATACTGCACATTTTTTTTTGTGTAATTTGTACTTTCCTTTTCACTTCCTGACTTGCATAACCTTTAGCTGATAAGATAGGCATCTTACTCTAAAACAACAACATGACCAGGGAAAACATTCCAACAGCAGTGAATCAAATGGCTGCACATCAAAACCACACCACAGGTTTAATTAAAATGATGGAAAATCTGAATGTTTAAAAGCTCCAAGTCTCATAGTTCAGATGTGCATATTGTGGAGTCATAGTATTCATTCTAATAAAGAACTATTAGACTTTTGAGCTATGAAAGGTATGCTTTAACATATCTTAAATGGTGGACTGCTGAAGTAACAGTGGTTATTTGTGGTGCCAGAAGAAATAAAAGCAGTATGCTAGTGTATACAGGAAAGCTACTTTTCAATAAACTGAGAATGAGAATGAGAGTTTATTTGCTGTAACTGGCTGCCTGCGTAAACATCATTCACTTCCAAAGCGTTTCATAAGTGTTCCTCACGCCCTGACAAGTGTTAACAGAAAGTATCACGTCATAGGCTCTGACATAGGGATGACTTTGACCTGGAGTGGCAGGATTGAGTTAACCTTTTGTAAACACGTCATTCTCCACTCCTCCACTCTTACCTCATCAAGCCTGCACAGCCCCACTTCAGCACAGGACTAGCTGTACTTTGACAAAATGTATTTTCTTTTGATCATATCTGTATGACATCCATCAATGTTGTCAAACATATTTTCCCATTGTCAAATGGGAAAATATGTTAAAAAAAAAAAAAAAAACTTTTCTTTTCATATACCACATTATACAATTTCCAAAAAGAAGTATAACATTGTGGTAAATGAGAAGCCTGAGTTTGCTTACCAACTCAAGCTTCTCATTAATGTAGATTACAAAATTTATCTTTCATTTTTTGTCCATCTGAGAGAAATGTAAGTGTAAGAACTGTTAATCAATACTTGAGTTATCTGTCCAATGTAAGCCAGTCCAGAGTCTTGCATTTTATATGAATAATAAAATACAATTTCAGTTCTATGTAGCTTTTCAAGCTTGTTTCCATGGAGAATTTACTGCTTTACTTGGAATGTTCCATTATCTCTCTGGCATTTGTTTTCAATTTCAGTTTTCATTACTTAATATGAGGCATTATTACTGTGAACCGGGTCTGCTCTCAACAGATCTGACCTGTCCCTTCACCTGCTTGTTTCTATGAAGATGCGTTTAATGCCATACTGTGGAGATTCCAGGCAGATCCAGTAAATGGCAGACCCTCCACCAGAAGGAGCTACATACTGTACCTTCAATTTCCACAGTTATACAACCTTAACTGTATTTCTATTGCTTTTGTGAAACTCAATATTGTAACTGCATGTTGTTCCAGGTTGACGTAGGACTTAACAGCTATTTTCAACACCCACCCCACACATTGGTACATAAATAAAGCTCCATTGTGTGGGCAAAAAGAGAAAATACCAAAAAACCTCAGCTGAAGAATGAGGAAGTGACAGTAGAGAAAACAGCGTCACGTCTGACTGGAGCCAGGCGTTTCTCCACTCATTATCAAGTAAATCAGGAGCGGGAAGTGGCCAATGCATAGCTCCGGCTGATGTATGCATACCATCGTCTAGGAAACGTATGGAGCAGCAACCTTCCAGCTCTGAGAGGACACGGGGCCCACAGGCTGTAAAAGTGTGTCCAAAGTACTTACTCAGGCCTGGTTCACACTGCACACATTTAGTGAGGGGGTCTGATTCATTTACTTTGAACTGAATGACTCACAGTCACTTTGTACACAGGGGATCAATAAAACCACTGAGCAAAAGCAGCTTGCATTAAGATGTGTAAAGGATGGTATTAATAACGGCAGTAGGAATCCAACAATTTCTGAAGGATTTTTCTTCCAAATTAACCAAATCAAATTAAACTTCTTCTGTTGTTTTGGCTAACATTAAACCAGGACCAATATCCAGGACTGCATGTTAATCTGGCATGGGATAGATACTTCTTTTTGGCACAATTTCACCTGGTTTAAACACGATTTATGTAAAGAAATTATTTTAAATTTTTTTTTTTTTTATTGAAGAGAGTCTCAAAACAATTATGTTTACAGTCAAAAGTAAATTCTATTCTTACATTTTATGAAGCAAAAAGATTGGGGAGAAAAAAGTAAAGAATTGTAATTTCTGTAATGAATGTTCAATTATTGTGAGGTGGAATAGCGTGGTCACATTTCTCACTGAGTAAGGCACTTTAGAGAAGGCTGGTGGTGAACAGGGAGTTCTTTATGGAGCCTTAGGCCCTGCAGTCAGCCTGTCTTTCACACATAGATACAAGACAAATAGATGTTACAGTAAGAATCCCAGGCATGCACCACTCCAAATATAAATCTTCTCAAACAGTCATGACAGTGAACAGACACTGAAACTGAAACTTTGCATGCACCAAAATAAGATTTCACTTAAACAAATGCAGAAATTAAAAAAAGAAAAAGCTGGGTTGCGTTAAAGATTTTTTATCTCATATATCTGAGCAAATTTGTCTTGTCTCAGGTGAGCACAGTTTTATTTTATAAGCAGCTCTTGAAGCCAAAAAATGTCCACAGCATGATGTCTGGATCTCTGTAGAAAGCATTTTATTTTCAGATAATTAAGAAGTGCACATCAACATTCTCTTTGTTGTTAGTTTAACCGTCACAAAAGTCTACACTGGTCTCCAAGAGTTGTGAAAATCACTTATAAAGTCATTGCCATGAATAATTAGATGCTCAGAACTTAAAAGGTAATTTAAGAATAACTTTGGAATACTGCAAGCTCGTTCTGTTTTCATTTTTTTAAGACAGTATAAATCAGGTACAGTGCCTTTAACACACACTGTATATGCCTATTCAGTAATTGGCACATTGCAGTTTGATGCTTTAGGATTTCAAACAAGTACTATAATAGATGTGTATGGTCATAGTGTATCTCTACTACTGTGTCTGTGTGGGACGTTAAGGAAACTGAAGCAATGGGAGACTGTGGTCATTCAGAAGTCATGTCACAGGAAGCCTCTGGTGGGAAGAGCTAAACACATTGAGATGCAAGTCACGTCCCAGACAGAAAGCCTTATATGGACAGAGTAGAGCTGCATTGTGTTGTTAAAATATATTTATGTATGGTTGAAGCAGGTTGAGTCACTGTGCATCTAATTAAAACTGGACAAACTGGACCATAAACAACCAGTTATTAGAATGGGAGTGAGTTCTAAAATAACATGTTTTAATAGGCCAGAAAATATGCCAATCTCTCACACACACACACACACAAATATACTAGTATATAAGTAATAAAATATCACAACTTATGGTATAGACTGAAATAGTCAATGAATTCTCCTGATCAAAGTACCACGGTCTGGCCTTGACTGTTTTGTATGCCTGTACGTTACTGGTTGTTAAAATGAGAATGGAAAACTACTTGACCAGTAATGTAAGGTTCTATCATTTTAGTCCTGTAGAAACACATATAAATTAATTTGATACATGAGCTTGTTCAGAAATATACACAACAGAACTTATCTTTCCTAATGAAAGTAGTAAAATGTAGATAAAAGGTGTACCCAGCTAGGGGGAACTCCCCCCTTCTGAAACCAAACGTCCCAATTAGAGCACTTGAGCAGAGGTGGACCTGCGGTTGTCATGGTTTGACCCAGGCTCTTACTACATCAATCAGTCTGCTGGAAAACACGAGATGCCAGGCTGTTTTACTTAGTAGCGCTTTGACACATCACCATGACAACTCACACAAAAACAACACAAAGAACAACTATCATGCCAATGAAGAGTGAATACACTTTGGTCGGGTCAGGGACAACTGCTGCGCCTGATAGGATGAAAGGGCTTTCAGAGGCCGTGTCAGTCAGGCTAAATAGGTATAACACAGGTTTATTCAAATTCACAGACATGATTTAGGAGTGGAGCAATTCAATTACTGTTATATTTTGTACTGTGCAAAGAAAAGGGTAAAAAAGAGGTAGTAAAAATAGACATATTAGAGAAAAGAAAAAGAAATCAATCTGAAATGAAGAAATCTAGTTTTAGCCATTTGTTCATTTAAGGTTCACTGTGTAACTTTTCTGTTGCTTTATGTGGAATTAAAACACATTATAGGTGTTTTTTTATTGCTCAACCATGTATTTTTACTGTGAATGAGGTTGCCTGTCCACAGATGTGACTGTAACTTGGTTTAGGGAGTCACATTCTTGTCTCAGTGGAGATAAGTTTAATTCTATTCTGTGGAATATTTTAGGAAAAGCAATAAGGAAGTGGACCCTCCACCAGAAGAGCAGTGCACCTTCAAGTGAGAGAGGGAGGGAAAATGCTGATCTTTTCAGAAATTTTAAGAATGAAAGATAAAACACCCATAACTTCATAGCTATTGTTTCAATGTGCCATTCAACATTACTGAGAGTGAAGACAGATGCAGTGGGTATAACTGAGAATGACAGCAGACGCAACGCACAGGGATCAAACGCATACTGGAAATAGTACTTTTACACAAGCCATATGGAACTTCAACATATCTCCTGAATGCTGAGCAGACTGTGAATGTCATTGTAAGGCATAGATCAACCGTTAAATAATATGTGATGACTGACAATGGTTTAGTTCATTTGAAGTTGGGGCTTTAAGGTCCAAATCTATTGTAAACTGTTTGACAGCTGTTCACTCTTCTGGAAAGGGTAAGGGTCCTACAAGGGTCCTAAAATACCCCGGGACGGTTTTTACAATTTAGTTGTTTTTTTTCACTGTCAGAGGAATGCAGGAAAGATGCTGGTCAATGTCAGGTCCAACTATGCATGGCTCAGATTTTTCATTCATCTCGCATTTTCTAACAATAACAATACCATGCGTCTCAAATAAACACACTCTCACACTACAGGGCATTTAAAGGGCCCATATCGCACCATTTTCTGACCTATGTTATGATGTTGTTCCCTCATCAAAAACATCCCTGGAGTTGTGTCTCCACTCAAAATAAATATGAATAAATAAAAATGAAAATATTCCACCTCGTGATGTCATGTGGTAATACAAGAAGGGCTCCACTGTGTTTTTAAACTGCATACACCTTCACTAGATGATATTAGCCCTGGAAGTGCCAATCTCTATTGAACTAAAGGTAAAAAGTAGCTGTTAATTTGCAATCTACCACTTCATAACATCACAAGGAGGTACAGCATAGCTGAGCTTTAGAGATTTTTACTGACTAATAATGTAGGATTGTTCAAACACATGTGAATGACACAAAACACAACTCCAGGTATGTTTTTGATGAGGTAACCGCATTATGACATGGCTTAAAGCTCACAGTAGTCAATATGTTATAGGACCTTTAATTGACCTCGGACATTATATATTTGGCTGAATAATTCACAAATTCTACGTTCTAGTAGTTATGATTAAGAGACCTCATCATCCCAGACGATAACGTAAAGTTAAACTTGTTTATTATTTATGATGTCAACCTTAGGCCCATCATGACTTACACTGGGACCAATAACCTAAACCTTTACTCAAGTAAGTCGAGTATTATCACTACTAATTTGCTAAGTTTTTTTGTACAATAACTGCTCTGACTCTCTATACATTAGCAGAGTAGAAGGTTGTTGTTTGTAACACCTCTTGCGTGTACACTTCATAGTACTGGAACACATCTGGAGCCACAGGGCTGGCTGCAAACTCAGGGCTAAAATTAACTTGCATAATGTTCACGCCGAGTATCACATGCCCCTGAAATAACAAATGAAAGGATATGGAGGTCAAGAGGCGAGGTGGGGGTTACAGCAGTGGAAAGATTTGTTATATCTGACCCAAGACTAAATCATAAATCACATTCAAATGTAGGAACTATTTTGTTTGTGTAATATGGTTAGATTTTATTGTACTAATCTCCAAACAAATGAGCATGTTTCACTGAGAGCCACCTGAGCAAACAGGAAGTACTGTCTCATATTAAGTCAACCCCATACTGCATAAATATTCATGTTCCAACATATGGAAAACATCAAGTACATTCAACAATAATGGCCATTTGTATTGCCATTAATTCTGGTAATTATGTTTAGATATGTGATTTGAAAGGAACCTTAAGTAGTTATGGGTCATTAGCAATTGTATTTTTGTCATGTCAAATCTAAAATGTTCAAATATCAAATCACTCAATTCTGAAATATGTTCCGGGGTTCCAGTGTCATAGGCCAGGTTATAATATTGTAAATACTGGTGTTTTTTTTTTTTCTATTTTTTTAAAGATAAGAATTATTTCATCGTTGTGCTGTTTGAATATGGGGGAGTTGCTAATCATGTATCCTGACAAAGTCCTGCTTCATTGGTTCTCCTGAAAAAATTGAGTCTCAGATTCAGCCTTTTGGTTTCAAAGAAAAAGGCTATATATAAAAGTAATATCACATGCCAATACTAAATGAATGAAGTCATGAAGACAAAGAATGTAATGTTTCACAGATCAGCAGGGGCGGGGCTTGCCCAAAGCACTGATGACTCCACAAATAAGTGATGTCGGTGTGACAGTGGACTTAGTCAACACTTTTAAAGCCCTCAGCAACATACCAGCATCACCACAAGAACACACTGTATAAAGCACTTGCTCCACTTTTTATGTGTCTGGATTTCTCATAGCCCTTGCCCAAAAGCCAAGTTTTAAGGATTTTAATTAGTTTGTTTTGTACATTCAGCTGTGTGACCAAGCTTATTTAAAAAATAAATAAATAAAACTACTGAATGCGATAGGTACACATCTCTACAGAAGTCTAAATATGGTCTTAACCAAAGTGCTAAGTTACACCACCTTAAAACAAATACACTTTCATTATATGCATTAGTTTGAACAGACTATATTAACCATAGAAGGACTGACCTTGTATGGGAACATTATGTGCTCCAATGCATTTTACATTCATCATTAACACAGGAGACAGGGCCTAAAAATAGCTATTTGCTTACGCTTGAACCTTAAACTCTCTGATAGCACTGTATAGTTTGTGGAAGCTGTGTTAACTACACCCCTCCTTCTATAAACACATGATATTTAAAATATGTGCTGCTGATCCAACCAACTAAACAATACAGCAGCTTGGTCCCGACACTGAGGTTAGATTTTGATAACAGGAAGACACAGGAAATCAAATGTCTGCACACACAGTTATACAATCCTAACAATGGAGAAAAAAGTGAGTAGGAATTCAAATTCAGTTTATCCTTTTGGTGTAACACTCTTGAACTTAACGATGAAAAATGAAATTAAAACAATTGTAGCATAAGAGCAAGTAAGTAACGACAAATACAAAATATTAAGTTACAATTTCTGCTTTCCTAGCTTCCTGTCTTTTGCAACCAGACTTGTCCCATCTTAAAAGTCAAACCAAGCCTGGTGCTAACTCCTTTTATTCTCACTTTATGTGCCCCAAAGGCTCCAAATAGTTATTACAGAACCACAGCAGACTCAGGTTTCAGCTGTGGTGCCTTTGAGGAACAAGTGCTCAGCATTTGGCATTAAGAGTAACTCCAGGGAGACAGGCCAGGAAAGTTAGCACCTACCATTGGTCTTATCTGGATCACTAAAATGACAGTGTCTCGACGTAGCTATCCCTCTCTGCCAACATAGTCTTTTGTATCAGACAGTCAGTTTATTAAAGGCACAATATATAAGTTTTGTGGTTGAGACCTGCTTGTCTCCAAGGAGATGTTATTATTCGGCATGGAATGTTCCACAGTACAGCATTAAATGTATCTCTTTTGTATTTATTCAATTACAGGTGTTTCATATTGCCCAAAATACCCTGAAAGACCTGCCTTCCAACAGTGAACCTTGCAATAGATTTGCTCAGCAAATTGGCCTTGTGATGCCACTTGCCTACTCTTTGGGGGTAGATGTTAGAGAAGTTGTCAGGTTATCCAAGAAAGGGTTGAAGTAGTGGAGGATAAATAAATGACTTAAACTCTCTTGCAGATAAGTTAAAATCTGTTGAACATTCAAAGCAAAGTAGGAAAAAGAAAAATCTTCATAGAGACAAGCAGGTGGCAGACTGCACACCTGAAAAGTTAGTGCACCTTTAAATTACTTTCAGTTTTCAAACATTTTGATGAATTTGCAATCATTTATCAATCAAAATCAAAATTAAAAAGTTAGCTTATGTGTACCATATGTAACTTTCTGGTGGTGGCACTGGCACATCACCTGCATGATCCCATGGAAACAGGAAGTTTCCATAGTGGAACATTCTGTATAGAGATAGATATGTTTTACTGTAACATTTCCTTGGAAACAAGCAGGGGGAGCCCCTCCACCAGGCTAAATGAGAGTCAGTTTTGTGGTGGTGCATGCCCAAGTTTTACAGTGAAATAAATGTCCAAAATGGAAAAAAAACATGCTTTAATTTGAGTCTCTTTTTGTGACTTAAAAGTTGCATGCTGTGCCTTAATTTTGGTATTTCAATGATTCATTTTTTTCATATTTATTAGGCTTGTATTCAGGAGACATTGCAGAGTTATGCAAGCTTGTTATGATAATAGCAGCGTTCAGAGGAGAAGGGTCAAAAATACAACAATGACTGACAGGGGCCAAGCTTTTGAGAAGGTGCCTAAAACCGGCAGCATAGATGAATGGCTCTCACTGTCAGCGCTCACATACTACATGAGCCACATTCCTCTGAAGTGACAGGAGTAAAGGCCATGACAATGTGACTCACCCGGGACACAGTGAGGGGCAGGCAGAAGTCCTTTCCCCCCTGCAGCCTGAAGCCCCATGGAGCAGGTCCCACCAGACTCACACTGTAACTGCTGCTCATCGTTCACCTGGGTACACACAACAGACACATCACATATACTGTTGTGTAGCAATCTGCACAGTATATTTTGCGAAAATATCCATAACACAATATTGGTTGACTCAATAATCGATATAACAATAAAATAAATTTATAACAACAATGCAAAGTTCTCCATTTGACAGAAGAGTACTGTTTTTGGAAAGTAAAGTAGTCTTTTTTCATATCATGCAGCATTTGAGTAGTGTTCTTTGACTGCTGTGGTTTTAAAGTTATGTCATGTGACGTTTTGTGATGTAATTCTAAACTGGAGTAAACACAGCGGTAAACAGTTAATCCAAGGTGGCTAAGGAAATACTGTGCTGACAAACTGTACTGTGGCCAGCAGGAAAATAAACATTTATAGAGCAATGCCAGAAAACTTTCTCTATTTAGAAGACAATAAAAACTATGGCTCACCAGGCTAGTCCTAAAGAGTAGGAGTTTTGGACCTGACTGAACCTTGACAGGCACACAAACATACAAGCACATTCAATCACTAAGAGCACTTTAAAGATGACCCAACACATTTATAATGACAGAGTAAAATTGGCCAAAGTCAAACACCTCATAGTAACTACTTAAACAGTAAATAGAAACTAAATGACAAGAGATGACACTTACAGACTAAATACAGGAGCTTTACGGTGAAGCCAAAACACGGTATTTAGAAGAGATTACCATAATCATCTCAGATACATTGTAAACCTTTGTTGAACCCAAACAGACTTTGCTTTGTCTGGATTAAAGGTGAAGTCTGGCTCTATCACTACAATCTTGAAGAGCGCATTAACATTCATAAGTGGAAAACAATATGTTGTAGACACACACAGTAAGTCATGAGGCATAATCACACAAGGCTATTTGGACGTAAGCAGAGACATCTAATAATAGTACTCCTTTGGCTGCAGGCCCTTGTTGACAGGCTGAAGGCTTTTATGTGCAGGACTTTGGCATTTACAAAGGGATAAAGTCAGGCTGTCGTCTGTGGGTCCACTCATAAACTACGGTGAATGACACCCAGGGAATTCTGAAATACAAAGTGCAGATAACCATTTGTTTAGTGTGAGGAATGTCCCATCAGCTGTGTGACATGTCAGCACTGTGTCCTTTGACTCCACTTGTGTGTTCTTACTCACAATGGCATATTAATAGCAGGCCTATACAAAACAGCACTGCCAATAGTAAAAATAGTGTAGTAGAACAAAATAGTGTTGTGTCTTTTAAATACAGAGGTCACATTATTAATAGATAAGTGAATATGAGAACGACATGAATCAAAGTCATGGTTGTAAGAAGAGTACATCTTAGTGAGCCACCTGTATTCTATTTGTGTTTGATCGACTGCTTTGTTGATACTAGAGTAATAAATAGACTGGTGTTATTGTGGTGTTACAGCTGAAATGTGTCAATCACAATCTGTCATTAAATCAACATTAGCTGTAAAACAGGGATCTCTAACCTTTTTCCTCCAGTGAGTTACTTTTACAGAATGAAAATGCCAGCAAGCTACACATTTTAGCAGTTGCAAGAAATTTAGTAAGAGTCATGGTATGCCCTAAATGGGGTACAGTTAGAGCTCAGTAAAATATAAACCATTATCCATTTATTAGTGCACAAACCTAGGCACCAAAATGATACATTTACAAAGTTAATAGGCACTTAATTCATCAAATTATAGTTTTTCAGCACAACACGTATTATTCAAAAATCCCTTGGCAAGCTAATTGGAAGGGGGTAGAGAACTACTGGTAGATCCTGAGCAACGGGTTGGAGACTCCTGCTGTATAACAATGAGCATGGCTAATAAAAAAAAAAAACATTTCTTGCATGACTTTAATTCCCAGTACTTTTCCCTTTTTCCCCTTTTTTTAGTCTTTAAATAGCTCCTGAACCTTGTTTCTTTTTTCATTGAGGGTCACAGTAAATAGACATATCACCAACTGAATTAACAGTTTTGAATACTATTTTGTTTATGTGTTGGAGCATATTGGACTTGATTCTTTAAAATGTGCATTTGCTCTATATAGAGCTCTAGATAGACTAATACTACATGTTTTGATCTATCTAGAGTGCTCTGCTCATTGTGAACACATGAGCTCTGCTGTGTGTGAACATGTCTCACCTTTGCCCTGTAGCAGGAAGCCTAGATGTTGACATAAAACATGACAGCCGTGACTGACTTAAACAGTATTATGCATAACTAACAAGCTAGCTAGAGCAGAACCTTTATATTATGTGGAGCTTGTGGGTACTGGGAGTGGCACTGCTGGACAAAGCACAGGCTAACGGGGCATAATAAAGTTAGTGTTAGACAAATGGAAACTTGCCTGTTGGGTAGGGCAGTGGCTTAATTGCCTTACTAAAGACTATTCGATGCCTTGGGAAAAGAGAAGAGTGCGTCACCTGGTCATTTGTATTACGGAACCTAAAGGGGAAGGATCTTTTAAAAGGGACCAGACAAACTTCAGAGCAATACGACATAGAGTTATAAAGAAATAAACTCATTTATGATCTTAAGGTTGTGAGCACCTGGGAAGCCATATCGTTTCAGTTATAGCATATATGGTTTTATCACAAACAATAACTAAATGCCAAAAACCCAATTTATTAAGAATGTGTGAAGGTTAGACATGGAGCCTATTGTTAAAAAGAAATTGGTACTTGGAAAACACACCCATGGTCAAAATAGAGGGTTCAATTCTCTATTCTATTCACAACAGGTTCCATCAGATTAGATTTCATAGGTGTAAACTGGGACATCTCAGCCAAAGTTACCAGAGCTACCATAGCATAGAAACAGATAGTGGCTTTGTTTACATTACATGCACACTCTAAATCTGATTTCTGGAGTTGTAAGACTGTTACATATAAATAGCAAAATCATCTAATCTCTTTCTGATTGTGATCACTCTGATTCCTCGCACCAAATATTGTAATTTATATGTAATTTAAATAACCGTAAATGCCCAGAAATGAGGTAATAATCACATTTTGGTGTGCATGTGAACATAGGCAGTATTAACACTCCCAAACTCTACTCCACTCACATCACACGCTGCTCTTGTCCTAATATGGAGAGAACAAACATCCATTTCGTCATCTCGTGTCTCCACTTGTTTTGCAATCCATAATGATATCATGCATTGACATGAGCAGACACACCTTCATCGTTCCTGAGTAGCGGAAAGACTGTTGCATGCATTCAATAAGCAGGGCCAACATCAACTTTTCTGGGCTACTTGAGGCATGATTGTTCTTGCCTTATCTTTCCTGGTTGTTGATATATTTCAGCACATTCACACCGATTAAGTTCTGCCATTTGGGAAAGTCTGCACAATACACATGAAGGTTGTCAGAAAGTTGATAGCCACTCAGATACTAACAATACAAAATCTAGTATCAAAATTACTTTGAACAGGTAGTGACACTGATTAAAATTACATAAGATAAAGTTGGACCTTTTCTCAATAGTTTTAGAGTGTTCTTCATCAAGAGACTACCCAAACAAGTGTAAAAAAAAACTATTATTTAATGTTGTCAATTATTGAGTGTTTTATTGTGGTATACAAATTTGTATTGATTAACTGAGTATTGATATAGAATGTCAAACATTGTATTCAAATAGAGTTTGAAATTTCAAGTGACACAGAGCTAAGCTGCAGTTGACTTTGCATTTGAATGATACCAAAAAAGTAACTGACTTTAGAAAATCTTTGAGCAATAAATCACCTTGTGCCCTTTTAGACCATAGCAAGACTTCTAGCCCAGTCACAGACCCTATTGGTTATTTATTGCATCAATAGAAGAGGTGAAAATTCTAAATTGCTCAGTCTGTCGAAGATCTCTCCTTTACAATGTTGTTTTCTTAATAGGTAGGCTATAGCACTCACCTCTACCTGTCCTGGCTTACCTATGAAAACAATATTCATTCAGTGAGTAGTAAATTTCATGATGCAAAGATATAGGTTTATATTATTTTATTTTATTTTATTTTATTTTCCTCATACTACCGTTAATCAGATTTGCATCCTAAAGTTATCCTGCAATGTTTGATATCATGAATGTCTCTGGAAACGTGAACAATTAGGTAGGCTTCTACATTTCTGATCAGCATCTATGAGCTAGAGAAACTTTTTGCTGCCACAATGAATAAAAGTTGTTTTGTCTCCTACCTCGCTCGTGTCTTAAGGCCGGTCTGGAGTGCTCAGAGAAGCGTGCGTCCTGGTCTGTCGGTGCACTAGTTTGTCAGTGAAGTGAATTTAGCGGAACTTGGACTTCCGTGTATAGGCCAGCCCCAGCCCTCGCAGCAGCAGCAGGGGGAGAAGGAGGAGGGCTCCCGTGTGTAGATCCCTCCAGCCCATCCAGTCCCGAGCAGGCATCGGCTTGTCTCTGCCGGTGAGTTTGATAATAATGCTTCAGCATAAGCCACGCGAACTTCAAGGCTCGCATTACTGTAGCATACTTAGCAGCCTACCTAATCCAGAGTCAGTCACAATTTTCGGGACGAAGACCTTTGTAAAATCAGGTCTTATCAATGTTTTTGGATTACCTTACCATATCACTATTCCCATGTGATATTTCATTAAAATAACTGAAGTAAATGGTGTGAGAGATAAAATAAATTCCATTGCAAAGAATTAGAATATGTTTGCCTTTTGTTAATTGGTGTCATTATTTTTACTGCACCTTCAAGCCTGCCGAGTCCAGATATGAGCAGGCTATTAGTTAAAATTCAGTGACATATTTAGTATGAATTGGTAGCGACATAGGGTAGTAAGCTGTATGTCCGTACTTACTTACTTACTTAAATTACTTACATACTTATATTACTTACATATTTATATATACTTATATTTATTGTGCGTTTATGTGCAGTCATAGACATATGTGTGCGACTGTATGGGTTCGCCCTCTAGTGGTAGAAATATGTTTTTACATGCTTTTAGTTATCGCTCGTAGAAAATCATGATCACTCAAAGTAGGAAATTAGCAAGTGGACACGGTACACGTTTACCCCTGAGACAGCTGGTCTGAGACATATTGGGTTTATTTTACTGCTATACAATATCATTAACAATGTATTTAGCCATTTTTTATTCCCCAGTACTTACATTCTTTATTAAATTCTTAAAGCTAGTATCTGTAAGTTTAGTCTGATTTAGTAAATGGATATGAAACCTTTCCCCAGGACTCCCACATCTGGCCAACAGGATTGTAAAAGCAACAACTGTTATGAAAAACAATATTTCCTCTTAAATATGAATTATCAAAGTACAATTAAGCATTTTTTAAATTTTTATTTATTTTATTTTATTTATTTATTTATTTATTTATTTTTCATTTTTCAGGCTCACTCGTGAACTCTGGTCTTCTTCTGCTGGCACACTGTCAGACAGCAGTAAATTAGGTAGCATCTAGTGGTGTTATGTGAGAATACAACAAGGCCTGGACAGCCAATCTAACTACAAATGACAGCTTAATTAAGGCCATCATTTATCAGCATTCTATCTGGAGCCAATACTGGTTCAACCAATAGACAGTGTGGGCAATGATTAGATTCGATTATCAATAATATGTAATTTGTTAATTATATTAAGATATTACACACATCCAGACACCAAACACCAAGCAATGATAATGTCAGTGTGGCTTTATGCAGTCTGCTCCATATTGTACCACACTGCTCTGGTCTTCAAATTTCCACAGTGAGATAAAGTCTAATGCTGTACAGACAGCTACATGTGTGCCATGTCAATATATGGGTATAGAAAGCCCAGCAGCAAAATCCTCTTGTGCACAACTATTGAACCAGTGAATTGGAGCAGCCTTAGCATACCTTTATACTTTTGCATAACTGGATAAGTCAACTGGCCTGGAAATCCGGGAATTAGAACCACAAGTTCAAAGGCTGTGGAGGCATTTATTGAAGCTGAGCTGTTGGTCTAAACCTCTCTGGTTTAATGGATGGACTGCACAGAATCATTGAACATACATGTATAGTGTTGTCAAAATAGTGGTGAATCATATAAATCTCTTTATTTTTCACTATAAATATATATTTAAAAATATAAACAATAGCACCAAAAGTTACATTTATAATTACAGAAATGTGCAATGTTGTTGTCATGGTGCAGTACATCTGGTGTTGAAAGTGAAATCTGTGTACATTATGTTTCCTCAATACATACTAAAGTACTAAGTACAAAACTTGACCAATATCCTCTTTTATACCATAGAATGTATTGTTTTCATTGAAAATGAATTATTTTATGCAACTATCAGTTTTATATCAGAGGATTGCATCATTATGGACCAATTTAATAATTTATTTATTTTTTAAATCCTAAAGTAATTGCATGTAGTTACAATGCAAGATAATATCAGCAACATAACCATGTCAGTTATAATGAACAAATATGAAACACAACCAAACAAATAACCTAGTGTACAAGCACCAACTTCTTAGTCTAAAAATCATGCTGGTTGCCCACAAAGCAACACCAGAGCATTCTAGACATTGTACAGATATTAGTGTCTGGTTGACGCCTCAACTTTGGAGAGATATCAGCACAACATATGTATTTTAATCAGTAAACAAATGTATATTCTTTAAATGTAAAGTCAAGTGTTAAAATGTCAAGTGTAAACACTAGGAAGATTTTTCAGAACAAATGACTGCAGTGCATAAACGTGTCTACTTGGCAATTCCAAAGAAACATTAAATTTAGAAGCTATAGAGATCGGGATTGTGTCATCACACCTCTGAGAATGCGAAAATACTAAATACTAAACTTATTATTATTACACATTAATGTGCTAAATGTACTAGTGACCCTGCTTCTTATATAGTTGTTCCTCTGTTGTTTTGTTTACTTTTTACTTTTTGCTAATATATCTCTGTGAATATTTTGCATGTTTGTGACATTCGATCTTAAGATCTGTAGACTTACAATACCTACCTTGGTGCTTTTATATAAAAAAACACCTTGGGGCTATAAATTGTGGATCTTGTCTTGCCAATGGCATCCATTTAATTGAGATGAGCTACTTAATCTCAGGATATCACATTAACAGTACTAACTCTCCAGAGTTGAACTTGTACTTTTATTCTCTGTATTCCCAGCTCATGTGTCTGAACCTGGTGTTCGTTATTCCCGCTTCATTTTGAAGTGTTCCTCACACATAAGGCAGCACCCTTTTTGAAGACTCCACTTGTGGAGATTTTTTGCACCTGCTCAGAGGGCTCTTGTTGTTTGTGATAGTAAACTAGAAATAAATGCATTAATTAATGATTGTTACATAAAGATTAAAATATTAATTTTAGTTAATATAAGTTGTTCAGAAATCTGTACCTTAATTCTACGTGTTTTCTTCCACTTTCCCGAATGTCTGTTGATTTGTTTACTTTTTCTGTCAGACTGCAAAGAGAGAAACTTAAAGGTATGCAGTGACCCTTGTCCAGAGGATCCAGCTCCACATCGCTCCACACCTGCTACAGAGACCAATTGTGAGTCTACACAATAACTTTTAATAGTATAAAGTAGATAGAGAAATATCCCTGAGTTGTACACAGTTTTGCACTTGTATAGACATAATTATTATATATGTTTGTTATATAAAAATACAAACTTACTGTGTCAGATGTAGACATGGAGGAGACTCGTTGAAACTTAGTTTTGGTTCCTGAGGACTGTCTGCTTAGCACTGATTCTCTAAAAGATGATTCACTCTGTGAAACTGACATAGTGTCCCTCCTCTGGGTTTGGGCCAGGAAGTGGAAACAGCGGAATTTCTCTGCCAGAGTGTCCCTGTTAAAATAACATACAATAATACAACACCAACTTAGGCCATTTTCTTACTGCAGATGATACTAACCTGTATTTCGAATGAATGATGGCATAAATGAAAGGGTTGTAGATGGCTGAAGCTTTAGCGATCACTGCAGGTACAGCTTTGGAATAAGGGTTGAGAATGCCTCCATATCTAAAAAATATTTTTAATCATCCTAAAATTAAATTAAATATTAAACATTACATTATACATTGGTGATTAATATTTTCTGTATTATGGTTGCAACAAATGATTATTGGTTAGCAATTAATTTGATTAGTCAACACATTAAATTACACATTATGGAAAGGGTAGGAGGATGTAAATTCTTGATAGCTTCAGCAAGAAGACCAACTTAATGTCTTCATTACATTACAAAAAAGTTTGGTAATGGCTTTGGTAAGTATTTTGGCATACAGAGGACAATATGATAGAGCATATTTACAGATAATTCACATAATAAAGCATGTATTTTGTTGTGTCATTTTAATTAAATATTGCTCCTCCATCTGACGTCTTCTGGTCTGTGGTTGCAAGTCTATGTGCATACACCTCTCAAACACCATTAAAAGTGATGAGATGAGGTCTTACTGTATCTTATTATTTATTCAATGACTTTAACATTAGATGTTTACTATATTTACCCTGCCCAAGCGATGAGAGTGACACAAGCATACGGCGACCAGGAAAGCACAAACACAATGATAACAACAAAGGCAATCTTTGCCAACTTCCACTCGGTCTTTATGGACTGCTGCTGGATCAGAGTCGACTTCCTCACCTGAGAGCCCAACTTGTCTATGTCTCTGTTCAAACAGAAAAGTGTGTTCAAAAATACGTACTTTGTATACTTTATCAGCTTATATAATTAATAGTGAAAAGGAAGTTACCTACTAGTATGGCGGATGGCCAGGAACATACACAAATAACAATAAGAAATAATTCCCAATGGAATGAAGAATACAAAACAGCATAACATCAAAGTGTAACTTTTGTTTGCTGGAGTGGATGTCACATAGTCCCATGTGCATGAGGTCATCAGGCCTTCAGGGATATAGGAGCCTGAGCACAGCCAGAGGAGAGTGTCAGTGCATAACACATGCACGCATGGTTTGATGTCAGAGGAGAGAGAGTTAAACTTACTCCACCCTAAAAGTGGGGCCAGGCTCCAGGCTAAGGAGTAGACCCATACAAGCGCAATGATGAAGCAAGTTTGTTTCTTGGATGACCACTGTATGGCTTGCAGTGGTTTGGTAATAACAATGTAGCGGTCTACAGAGATAGCGAGAAGGTTTATCATAGACGTGATTCCAAAGAGAGCCCCACAGAAGGCATACATTTTACACCCTGCATAGACAGATCAGGAGAACATTTGAATAATGACTTCATTGAAAAAATTTGTGATTTGAAATGTATTTCAGAATGCAGTATAGAGCTACAAGTAAATACCAGTTTCTCCAAAGATCCATCCTTTGTACAAGGAGTTGACAAAGAAAATTGGAGACTGTGTGATGGCCATAAGGAAGTCACTGATGGCCAGATTCATGATGAAGTAGTTTGGTCGAGTCCTTAGCTTCTTGTTACTGAAAGTCACAAGGTTTATTAAAGCTTCTTTATTGTTATTTTACATTTACTAGTTGTACATACAAGATAGTAGACTATGTGGATAGAATCATACAGAAGCACGTATACATCTGTTAGCGCAGAGTGATTGTTTGGTTTATTAAGATTTTCAAGAGCCTTAATCTTTCAGTCCAGCAGATTACAACATTGATGGAAAAGACTTTGAATGGTTCTAAAAGAGAACAAACTTGGACATGTATTGTAGCTTGTATTGTAGCACCGAGACCTGTTAAAATAAAACTTTTTAAAACACGATATATTGGTACAGAGAAATATAATGATAAAGGATAATATTGAAACTACTTTATGTCAATGACACATTAACAAAAAAACTAGATAATCCCAGTGAATCAGTTTTTAAATAGACCGTATAATTTAAAGGTCTGAGCTGCAACAAATAGCCAAAGAACTCAAATCTTATAACATTACAATTAAAATAACAACAAATTCCCCATTACTGAGCATATGAATAATATGAATATATATATAAATCATGAAAAGCCTAGTAGAACCTATTGTTTGGAGTGTTGTGGAAAATGAGCAGCACATATAGCTTGTGAGCAGGTGCAGCCTGGCCCCAGTGTGGAGTGGACAACCTGCATGCTTAGTGCTCACCATTGTAAATAGAGCATACTACAAAAGAATGAACTCAATGTTTGAAGCATCTGTGCATGTTTTGGCAAGGTAAAAGGTCTGGTAAAAGGTAAAAGTCTGGATGACTTTTAATCCAGATGGTTTACAGCTCTGTATTGAGATACAAATATTAATGCCATTTAAAAAAGTGTAGTTTTGTAGCTGTGTAGTTTTTCTTAGCCCACAAAACAAATCTATATTTTAGTCATCCTCCTAATCTACAACAGTTTATGGAATTTTAATCATCAGTGTTGCCAATAATATGTGATTGGTGAGTTTGTGCAGAGAGAGGGCAGAATAACTGTGAGCTGAGTGGACATTGAGTGATACAGCTTTTGATAAAGCTGCACATGTTTATATGTCACTAGAGATTGGTCCTTAATGCAGAAAACATGTCAGGCCCTAAACACTCTCTTGGTTCTCACTTGATTCTTCACTGTTGCCATACCCAAGAGGAGCACATATTGTTTGTACAGCAACACATTCTATTAGGGAACACACAGTGCATTTAACCATTTAAATGGTTCTATAATCTAATTGTGATCAATAATATTTGTATTGCCTGTAGATTAAGAATGGGATGGTACATTGAAATTGATTAAATATTGAATAAAGAGGCCATTGTTTGTGATGACTATATAAATCATGATAATCAACGACAGATTTTCCCAATGTTTTCTGAGCAACACAGCCTCAGCGGTTAGAGCAGTGGTCCCCCAACCTGAAGATCAGAGGTTTGATTCCTGCTTGGATCAAGTACGGTCAGTCATTCTGTCTTTAGGTAAGACACTTCACCCACCTTGCCTCGTATGAAAGTGGTTTGTGTGTGTGTACATGATTGATGGTTTGTCAGAGGGGCCAATATTGCCAATTATTATTAGTAGTAGTAGTATAATAATAATTTTATAATACTGTGTTTTAACTTAATTACATGACACATAGTCATTTGTGTATATTTCTGTAACATTGTAAACTGTAGTTTTAGTTTTAATCAGCATTGTAATATTATAATTTTGATTATGATAATCATGAAACCAAGTTTCAGTATTGCCAACTGTAGACAAGGTGTTCTTATCCTTGTACAAACCCCTGCATGTGGTTTAGGTGGTCCCACTGGGCTGACTGTGTAAAAAAGAGTAGCTGACTAAACTATTGGATTTATGCATTGATTGATTTTCAGTGCAGTTAGAAAATCACTGGGCTGTTTCCTCTCTTTGAATGCCTGTAGGCAGCCACTAAGACCTCTTTGCCTGCCCTTGTGACAACAGCCACATTCTTTGCTCAGTTTAAATAACACTTGTATACATATAGCATGTATGTATATAACATTTTGATGTTAAAGGGGGATTTTTTTTGTTTCAAACTGTCAGTGAAAGTTTAAAAATACCATTACAGAGACGCAGCAGCTTTGTAATTATGATGACCAAAAAAAAGAACGAAAATCTATCAACTGTGGATGTGTTAAAGCCAGATAAACATCAGCCAATAGAAAACGAGGCTCCCTCATTTTCTATTGGCTGTTAGGTTGTCAGTCAAACTCCCTAGTGTAACTGACTCGTCGGAGCGCGGGGATTATGTGGTTTACACAGCGGTTCTTAGAGGCTTTTTCGAACTGTCGCTTCCTCGCATTTCGCACAAAGTTTGTCGCGACGGCGGATGAGAATCCACGACCGGTTCGCCGCAAAAGAAAGTCAGTTTTTGAGGTCGCTGAAAGAAGAAGAGAAGAGAAAAAGGACCAAAGCCAAACTGAGGTGATTCTTGGAGATCTCGTCCAGCGATGGCACGACTGAAGCAGACGAAGGGTCTAAAAACTGACGCGTCGGTCGCTGAATTACTTCTAGACAGGTCACTTCAACAGTAATTCTGAACGCGCACAAGGACTGTCGCTGTATTTCTCTTCCTTTAAAAAATCCTCTATACAACCTTTAATGTTTAATTTAATCAACATCAGCCACCCACTGACCACTCACATACCCCAGTAGATATGACCTTCCATTATGGTTGTTCTACTTACTGTAACATGTCACTGCATCGCTTAGACATAATCAATTCCAGCAGCTGAGCTGTTGTCTATCAGATTTTTCCCAGAATTCTCTTGTGCCCCTGTGGTAAAGTCATTTGTCACTTATTTAAGCCATGATTACTGGAGAATCCTTGTGAAAAGTGATTTGTTGTTGACTGTGGTTTATGTTTTATTTTAATAACCTAATGAGGGGGATACTCATTAAGCTAAGTTTTGCGAATACAATAATGTTTGAAAATGGGCCAAAATAATTTTAAACGTCCATCAGAAAAACATCAAAGCAGTGTGGCACTGTGGCAGTACATTGAGTTTACCTTGACCTTGGCAATGTAACTCGTATCCACAGATCTGATCACAAGATAAACAGTTATCTTAGATTCAGACCAGTTGATCCGGTGTAATTTGAACCTATAGAGCTCAACCTAAAATGAGAAGTACCATATTTTCCGCACTTTAAGGCACTCTGAATTATAAGGCGCACTGTCATAGAATGGTCTATTTTTGAACTTTTTTCATAAATAAACCTCACTGGACTTTAAACAAAACACAACAGTTAGATGGCTCAGTTGTACTTTGTTTGGCACGTTCACAGTGACTCTAAGCTTTTTCAATTGTGGCACGTAGGGAGAGTGCTGTCTGGGACAGCTGGATTGTTGGCGTGTTCGCAGTGACTCAGTTGTTCAGTTGTGGCTAGAAATGGCACAATGCACTCGCTTTTTCAGTTCGTTCCTTCGTTCCATTCCTCGTCCGCGTGGAGTGATGAGTGTGAGTGCAGGTGTTTGTCGCTGCGCGGTCGCTGTCTGCTCCGTGCATATTTACGTGCGCTGCAGGTGGTGCGGCTTTGTAGTTGTGCTCGGACACCCGAGTGGATCAGTGTATAGGGCGCTATGGATTGCGGGGCATGCAGTCGTTTTATGATGGGGTTGGAGGCTTAAGAGTGCGCCCTATGGTGCGGAAAATACGATATTTTAAAAGCAAAGACTACAACATCAGAGGCACATTTGTAATGGTTATAAGTTCAGAAATGACAATTCCATGTCAATAAACCAGATTTTTTCCACAATGACAGTAAGTGGTCTAGTCTAGTTCAAACTCTGTATTGAACCATTCAGATGTGCTGCCTGCCACTGTGTATTGAACACTTTCCATTTGTTACATTACAGTTATGCTGTTGTCATTGTTTTTTATCTTACCATTGGAAAATGTGATACCATACATACAGTGCAATGTGGAGTTAAACTTCCTAATATTTTGAATATTTCAGTGTTTGGTTATCTATTTGATACGTTCAAAGTTCAACACATCTGAGGTAGCAGCTAGCGCCTCCTTTGTCATAGCACAATTATTGCTTGTTCACCATATGTGCTATAGATGCCATTTGAAAATGTTTGTTTATCATTTCTAATATAACAGTATAAAGCACTGTTGCTTATTCACTGTTTTATTTTCATGCAGGGAATGATTCTTACCAGTAAAATGCGTACATAACCAAGGCATTCCCAGTTACGCCAACTGTTCCAATAACCAGGACGAAAAAGGCGACAATGTAGTGGGCGTGGTCTTGAACATCCACCTGACGATAGAATCCATGCTCCTTATCCATATCTGCACTAACACAAGACACACAGGGGCTGACATGAATAGTTGGTCAAGGAGGACACTTTCTGAGTCCAATCAAACCATCTACTGTGTAACCCTGACCCACTAACCCAGAGCCTTACATAAGTGCACTTCTCAGAAAAAACAAGTGTAATATGTAAGTGTAATGTCTTTGGGGCTCAGATGTACCAACCTGACATGTTATAGCTTTTCACAGCCAAAACACTCCCTCAGTTACTTGTGGTATTTTGTTTGTTTATCAAAAAAAAAAACAGCTGAGGATTTTGAAATGTATTGAACTGAATCTGAATGAAGATTGAGATTCAGTCATATCATAATTTACGCAGGTCTAAAGGGGTCTAAAGCCAATGATTTGTTAGTAAAAGCATTGGAGACTTTGAAGGAAGAAATCTGATTTTATGTTTGTGTTTAATGGCAATTGTTTAAGTTCAGTAAATTAATACTGAAAGCCCTGTTTTTTTGTATTTGTTTGTAATAAGGTAAATAATATCAAATAAAAACAAAAAAGTCATATCACTCAGCTCTAAAATCTTATGCTTCAAATGTTTTAATAAATAGACAAAGGCAAAAAATTGTTTATTGCCTGAGGTCATTGTAGGAAGATTGTTTTGTTCCTTTTATTCAGGTTTAGAACTGGAAAAAATCCTGGTTTGTACCTTTTGTGGCGGTCTCTGTATTTGCATTAGACTTTTTTTTTCTTTTTTTTTTTTTGTATGACACAATTCATGAGTTCAGTGCTTGCACGTGGAACACATGTCTATTTTACTTTTTAAAATCTGAGGAAATCCACACATTTCCTTCCAGCTCATAGTTGATATTTCCAAATAAAACACTGATCACTGCCGTTTTACACCGGAAATTTTGGTTTTAGGGCTTTAACAGTGAGGTTCAGGTCGAATGTGAACAATATATGCTTTGCTTGTTAGCTTAATTGGATAGTGCACACAGTCAGGACTAGCACTACAATAATATGGCATGTTTTCAGAAGGAAGATGAACCTTTGATCTAAACAGAAAAGCATGCTACCTACCTAAGTGCAGGTGTTTTTATAAGGATGTTATGAGAACTGCCTGGGCCCAGTCTCCAATAAATTATCATGAGTTGCTATTAAATCACACCAGATTATTGATGAATATTTATCTCTGCAATTAACCTGTAACCTGGGAAGTAGGGCAGTTTCATGTGTTATTGTAATATCTGAGAATTACTTTAAGCACATTTTATTTAAAATAATTGGTGTCAGCGTAAATTTAACTACTGATAAAGATAATATTTTAGCCTTTGAAATCATTTATAGCCACATGCAATAAAATGTGATTTTGTTGACTGTTTTGAAGCTCTTGGTGATCAATACATTTTGATTACAGTTGGTGAAGACAGTATTTTTAATAATGAAAATGGGTTTTTTCTCTGCTGAGCTAGTGCTTATAAGAGGATTTCTGTGTTCTGATAATGTGATGAAATTAAGAGTTTGCACGATGTCACATATTATCATCATCCCTTTTGGGCTCCAATCTTTTCCACTGTAACACCTTTATTTATTAAAAATATACAATTCTAAATATATTTATAACATGTAACATTTATAATGTCTTAAAAACAGAAATTCCAAACAGAAAATGTCTAATCATGCACAGCTATTGGTGCTGTACATTTATAAATATTGAAAGGAAATAATAACCCTCTCTCTACTTGTGCTTACTCAGAGACCTTGAGCTGGCCAAATGACCCACCTCACTAAGTGTTCACTTAAGCCTTGTTTCGGTTGGCTGGTTAGCTGCATGATCGTCAAAAAGCAGAGAGTGATGAACTTCACATTTTTGATCATCAAATGACCAGTACACTATAGAGCTATAATTGAACTCACCTCTTTAACACACTGATATTGATGAAAACAAATCAGCTGAAATCAGTTATTTTGTGAAGGAATAATCTAGAACAGCTAAATAATGAATCTCACAATTCTTTACTTTGTCCATCTATAACAAGTAAACAATGAATGAACCTTCCTATAATTAACAGTAATTGTAGAAAATAAACATGTAACAGACATATGGTAATAGAGCTGTGAACTCTACACGGGCCAAAAGCATTATTGGAAAGGGAAGCTAAATCCTCTGAATGTCTGGAGGTGGAGATTATTTACCATTTATTTATGGTACACTATGTCTCTGTACATTGTCCCTTCAAATAAAGACTTAACTAAACTAGTAAATGATATATTTACAAGAAAATAATATGACAAGTTACTTTGTTATTCTAAAACAGCTGCATGTAAACAGCTTAAGTTTTGCCTAGAGCCAATTGTGACCCCCCATAGTGGAGGAGCAGACACAAGGCCCTCTCACACCTGGATATTTACCTCTGTGTCACGCTCTCATCATCCTTTTGCATCAAATGTTGTAACTCATATCTCTGTTACCATGTCCACCTGCCCCATGCATCTTTTATCACAGGACTTTAAATAAGTGAGCCAAGTTGTGTTCTGAAAGCAAATGGTCTGATGCAGTTTAGGAACACAAGTACAGTTTTAATATTCTCACTGTCAATCTAATATTTAAAGCCATTAATGTTGTATGTTGACTTTAATTGGCCTAAAATTTTTAATGTGCTATTGTGCACTAAAACAGGATCATAAAGACAGAACAGGCAGTAAGCCTATTATACATAAGAAGTACTCTCACATCTGTGGGAAATCAATTTATGTTTGTGCTCTTCTGTTGTAATTTGTCATTTCCTACAATTTATAGTTTGCTCTAATATCAGAATCAAAATAGTAGTTTTTGTGTTTTTGTCTTAAACTATAGTATGATGTCATAGTGTAAAATTACTGTAACACCTACATTACTTTGAAAGTATTTATAACTGTAACAGTTTTTAGTTATAAGCTCAAGACACAAGATGACTCAAACAACTTACTTTATCTTGCCTGAAGAATGTAGTCCTTCCTCCTCTCTTAACTTTTGTGATCAAAATCCTAGTATGTAAAACACTGTCAGCCAATCCACAATGCTGATGTTGGAAATAGATGATATTGTTGAGCGCCTTCTTAAGCCCAAAGATGTGGATCCTATCTCTCTGAGAGCACTGCAAGTGTAAGCTGCAGCTATCAGCGCTTATAGGAGAATATGAGAATTCACAGAAAGAAGAGGCAGGCAGCAGAGCATTGACCCATCCCCCTGCTGGCTGCCCATCACACACAGCATTCATATAGCAGCAGTGTGCATCGATCAGCCCTGTGTTCTGTGCGCACATGGGTGGAGGAAGCACATGTGTTACTCTAAGCTGTGCTGTTTATATTCCTGGCAACGACTTACATTTCTGCAGAAAGACAGACTGGACTTGGCACAATGGATTTTGCTGCCTTTTTTTTCCCATGTAGTTGACCCCAATTTAAAAAGGTGGAACAGTGAGTAAAATGTAAATAGTAGCTGAACTGTATTATCATTTGAAGGTCACAAAACAACTCTAGAGAAGAGGAGCAGTTACTGTATAAATTCATAATGGCTATTTTATTAAAAAAGTGAACTTGATGGAAAGCTTGCCATGGAAACCTTAATGTGACTGAGATATTTAATAGTTTACATTTTATTGTAGTCATGCAGGAATTTGACTATTTTACTGTTGTCAAGTTTGTGTCATTTTACATACAATTATCTTAGTTTATTTTTCACTTCTGAAAGTTACACATATGTGACTGCTCTCTGGTGGACAGTGTGTGTATTACAAGAGAATAAGTCTGGTGCGTTTGAAAGCTTTTACATAGTATCAGACATGTCCTCTGCTCACTCTGGTGTAAAAGCATCCAGAGAGGCCCACTCAGATAAAAGCTTCTCAATGTTCAGCTTCTCATGCACAATTGAGCAAGATGCCATGTTCTCACCTCTCTGTTTTGCACACTTTAGTCTATATGTTGATGTTGATATGTTGATATATGTTGATAGATAAAACATATATTTTTTAAGTCTGTTTACCCACTAAATTTGTAGGTTGTGTCCCCAGCGATTACACAGGACATTTTCTGCATTTCCTGCCCAGGCCTGGTTGTTTGTGTGTTTTCAATATAAAGAGAAATCTACTGGCGCAAAGAGCAGATAATGTGAGGACCAGCTGATTCTCTCGAGGACTTTTGCATCATGGGTACAAGGCTGCTCAGTGTGCTGTGTTGTAGAACAATGTCAGCTTTCAGTATGAATGAGTTCCTCAGCTAATTCATAAATACTGAATAAATGTCAGCACTTTTTATACATTTAAAATATCTTTTATTATTAATGTGATTCTGAAAAAAAAAATCTATAATGAGCAAAAGGCTTGGATTTAATGTCCTGTGTGAAAATCAGTGTTTCACACAGATTCCCACCACCAATCACACCTTCCACACCACTTGAGCCGCTGTCACCCTTTAATAATGAAAGCATTACCAAATAAAATTACATATTACCTGAGCTGTTTTGACTGATTTAGCATATTCATGACATGTTTATACTCCATGACAATGACACTCCGTGTGTCATGCAAACCATTTACTAGTATTAGACTATTTTCTATGTCTAAAGGACAAACTAGTAAGTATGTTGGAGTGGGGGCTGTGCATCTGCTAACACATTGGGTGAATGTAACACCTGTCACAGGCACATTGACAAAAGCAAGGGCTGCTCTATATTCACAAGTAAATTGTACTGTCAGATGTTTCAATCATAATGGGAAAAAAAAAAAAATCAGTTTTAAGGAGTGTTCAAGATTGGCTGAAGTCAGCCTTCTCAACAACAACAATCAAGCCACCAATTACTGTCAAAATGGTCTGTCACCTCTGTCACCTTTTCAGGCGTGAAAAGGACAAAAACTTACCACAGAAAAGGTCTCCGTAAAAGGAAGTAGTACTTGAGAATTATGTGGCTTGGCTATAGTTCTGGGCAGTTTGAACTGAATCAAGATCTCATGATCATTGATGGTCAGCGAGGGCTTTTTAATATACAGAGGTTTGCCACAACTCCTCTGTCAGTAAAAGCATGTGGATTTGGCCCAATTTTGTGTTAAATCTCATATATACTGTGTGCATAATTATTAGGCAAGTTGTATTTATAAGGATTAATTTTATAATTGAACAACTACAGTGCTCTCGGTCAATCCAAAATGTTAATAAACCTTGAATATTTAAGAATGTAAAAGTGAAGTTTTGCCTTTTTTAGGAGAAAATCTGAGTGCACAATTATTGGGCAACTATTAATGTGCAGAATTATTATGCAACTAAATGAAAAATGAACATTTCCCATTCTCATTTATTTTCATCTGTCAGAAAATCTCTTGACCATCAAGTTTTTGTGCAGCAGCAAACACAGCCTCCCAGACACTGTTCAACGAGGGGTACTGTTCTCCCTCACTGTGAATCTCCCGTTTAAGAAGGGCCCACTAGTTCTCAGGTGGGTTTAGGTTAGGTGAGGAAGGGTGCAATGTCATTATTTTTTCATCTTTATGGTATTTATTAGCTAGGCAGGCAGTGGAGAACTTCAGTGCATGTGAGCATTGGAGCATTATTTTGCATAAAAATCAATGTCCTCTTGAAAGATGCAGACTTTTTCCTGTACCACTGTTTAAATAAAGTGGCAGTAGGTTTTGGAGTTCATTTTCAGCCCAATAATTCCATAATACCCCACCTCCACCTTGCTGGTGTCTGAGTTGAAGTGGAGCTCTGTGCCCATTACCGATCCAGCCACGGGCCCTCCATCTGGTCCATCAAGAGTCACTCTCATTTATCAGTCCATAAAACCCTTGAAAAATCTGTCTTCAGATATTTCTTGGCTCAGTTTTGACTTTTCAACTTATGTTTCTTGTTCAGTGGTTTTAGCCTTCCTTACCATGGCCATGTACTGAGCACGGAAAACCTTGTACTTCTGGGCACTCCAGGTAGGTTACAGTTCTGGAATATGACAGCGCTGGAGGATGATGGGTTTCTGGTAGCTTCATGTTTGATTCTTCTCAAATCTCTTGCAGTTAATTTGTGTCTCAGGTCACAAGTTTCTTGTGACACTGTTGACTATTTGCAATACAATGTTTAATGGTTCTGTGAGAGTGCTGCATTCCTCTGAAAGATTTTTTAAATTTTTTTGACTTTTCAGAGTCAGTTTTTTATACAGTCCATGGTTAAATCTCTTTTTTGGCCCATTATGCCTGAGAAAAAGAAGCTGCTCAATAATTCTGCACACTTGATATAGGGTGCTGAATTAGGCCACCCCCTACCTTGTTAGACAAATACACATAATCTAATACACTTATATCCAATAAGAATTCAAGTTTATACAGCTTGGAGTTGGAGAACATGCATAAAAATCATAATTTCAAAATACTCACTTGCCTAATAATTGCACATTGGAAACATTTGCATTTGTTTAGAAGAAGAAAAACATATAATTAATTGTATGGGGTCAAACACAAAATAACAGAATAATAGAATCACTTTCTGTATATAACACGTGATACTGTAGTAATAGTATAATGTATGAAAACCGCTTTGTTATTATACTGTGTCCAAGTAATTTTCCTTCAATAAGTCTAAAGTTTAAGGTATTCAAACAGTATACTAACTGGTGTTTTCTCAGGACTAACTGGTTTTGTAAGTTAATGTTCACTTAAATTTAAAATTTAAAGTGCTGTGAGTGCCTTGAAGGTGGAAAAGCACTATATTAAAATGTAACCATTTAAATCTGTTCTGATCTGCCACACACACTTTGCTTTTTGCATCTGGACTGTCTTTTGGATAGTGTATTTCACAGTCATGCACATACATGACCTTTCCAAATGACCTCACATAATAAGTGCATGCAGTGTCAAGATTTCCAATATGGCGTCTCAGCTAGCGTCCAATGATTAATGAATGAGCAGTAACCTTTATTTAAGCATTATAAGCACTGTTGGGCAAGTTACTTTGAAACTGTAATGCGTTATTTATTACCTATTACTGTCATTTCAAAGTAATTCGTTACATTACAATATTACTGCATTTAAAATGTAAGGCATTACACTACTATTGCATTACTTTAAGTTACTCTCACCAAAATATCTTTTGCACTGTATATGGACTGAACCAGGACTAAACCAGGTCTAAACCAGGACTAAACCAGAGCTGAACCAGGACTAAACCAGAAGTGAACTAGGACTAAAACAGGACTCACTGTAGGGACGGGCTCGAAGGTGACCGCAGGAGAAAGGAGCGGCTCTGCTCCGCACCTCACGGAGGTAAGAGCGGCTGTCACCCGATCGCTCTTTATGGACACCCTGCTGTTCGGGCTCGCGGCCCTGATTTCAGCAACTATTTGCAGGTACCCGAGCCGGTGCAAGAGTCTGTTACAGCGCGTAACTTCTACCTTCCTTCAGCGTGTCCAGAAGTCCAACTTTTTGTGTGATGGTTAGCATCTTCCTCTGCCTTTTGGGTGCGAGTGCAGGAGCCTTTGTCGGTGCAGAACGTTTCGTCGACATTGTGGGTTTCGTCGGGGAGAAAACTTGCAACCGTACAGCACTTCAGAATCACACTGCTAGAGATTGAACATGTATTTAAATTTGGCAGCTGAACACATTCTGTACTGTACAGGAGACAGGAGTCCCTTGGCCAGTCAGGACGCAGCGGGAGGAACACAACACGTGTTCATACAATGTAAAAAAAAAAAAGGGCATGCAAAATTGCACAAAAAAAAAACAAAAAATAAAAATCTGCGAAACAGCGAGACCGCGAAAAGTAAACTGCGATAGAGGGAAGGACGAGCGTAAACCAGGTCTAAACAGCGTGGAGTTCTTTGTCAGTCCTTTCGCCCGCGGTTACCTGAAGGTCTATGAGGGCGCATCTCCGGCGTTTCACCGCTGCTGATATCGCGGTGATTTTAGCGAATTTGTATGAAGAAAAACCCACCACTTCAATCCAGGTTAAAAAAACACTGTAACGCGCGTTACTCACATTTGTACCGAGTAAAATATTACTATTTTTCCCCTGTAATGCCTTACATTACTGCGTTACAGCAAAAAGTAATGCAT